GCTCTGAAAAGATTGGCGGTTAGTTTAGCTGCCGGCCGCAACTCCGACAACGGGTTGGAAGGGCAACACCTCCGAGAAAGACGAGGGGTTGGGTCGGTGTTTTTCTTTCTCACCGTCCCCGACACTCACCCCCGCCATCATCTTTGCTTTCTCGCGAAACTTAACCGATGCCTTTTAGTGCACGTACATTATGTCGGGACAACTAGGAAAACAGCTGCCATCGTTCGATGATTGCAGCCGGGGCTGCCTAGGGTCTATTCCCCCGCGTCGCTGGGAGCAGGCAGGGGCCACGATTACTGCAGCCTTTCCAGCCACAGGTCGCACAACACGTTCCGAGGAGGCAAATGGTTGATAAGTGAATTGCCCGCCGAACCGGCTGGAAGGCCGGCCACCCCCGCACCCATTACCGTGCTCGAGGCTCGCAAAGCTGGGCTGCCACAACCTCCCACACAGGCGCTACACTACACTAGTGTAGGCTCGAAGATCTGCGGGTTGGCTCACGATGGAACCGAGAGGATCCCGGGCCCAGTGGGCGAGAACCCCGGACCGGACCTGCACGGGACATCCAGTCCCAGTGTGACTGCATGCAGCGACGGAGCGGGTCGATCACAGGACGGCAGCGATCGCCGATTTCATCTCTCCTACTCAGACTTTGGGAACGGGGTGCCATCCACTGACCAACTGTCCACTGTCGTGGACGCCCTCGAGGCCCTGGGCGTCGTGTGTCCCGGGGGAGAGGGGGGGGCGTCACCGACCCCGCTGGATCTCTGCGCTCCTGTGGCTTGCTGAAAGTTCCGCTTTTCTCTCGCGGACCAGGGCAGCTTGCAGCTTGCAGTTTGTAGTTTGCATTCTCGGTCTCCCGTCACATCATCGCTGCGTGGCGTGGCATACACTAGGCGCGGAGTCTTTCCTCCTCACCATCCCGGCGCTCCGTCGGCCGGAACCCACCGGGCCCCTCTCCGGGGCCCCTCAAAGGAGATCGAGAGGTTCTGATTTGCCTGGGAGGGTTGCCGCTAAGAAAAATCTGTAGATGGAGAGTCACACAGTTACGTGAGCGGGTGAAGAGGACCACTGCGGGGTGGTTTGAGAGCGGCTAGTGGTAAGCTTTCCCCTCGGCTGGCACTGGGGAGCTGGAGCCCAAGCCCGCCGGCAAGCCGGCGCTGAGGCGGAAAGGAACGGTAGATCTGCCGGGAGGGCTAGGAGCAGTCAGCAGCTTCACGGGAAGGTGTCCAGCAAGTCCGCCCAGTATCTCCTGTGTCCTGGAGTACGTGTAATAAAGACCGGGCGGGAGTTCACGAGGAGACAAGATGCGAAACAAGGACGGTACGGGATGCACTTTGCCTATTCAGTGATGCAATCAAGACGGAGATGGTTGCCTCCTCCAGCCCACGATGGGGGGGAGGGGGTTTGATGGAGACGTGGCCTCGCTGTCGGGCCCCTTCTGTTCCTTGTGCCACTGGTGATCACCAGCTCCCTCGTTGCTTGCCGTCATTGGATTCTCACATCCCGATCCGCGGCGTTGCGGAGCTTGGGGGTGAGGGTTGGTTTTCACCTCACGCCCCCTCCCACCATCCTCACGGGCCTTCGAGGCCCGGCGCCGGCCACAACTTTTCTCGTCACAAATACCAGGCCCGCGGCTCAGGACAAATGATGGAGGAGATCGTGGGCCCGGGTGTGTTGCACCGCAGAAGCGCTGTCCATCAACTTCGGGGTTTGGCGCCGGCACGGCCGATGGGGGGTAGTTTAGTGAAGATCAAGTCGTGAGGATGTTGTTGTTTGAGATCGGGCTGAAAATGACCATTTTTTGTATTGCTGACATCGTACAGAAGGATCGAAGGATGGCGGGGTGGTATACATGCAACGCGAGAGACCGATTCCGAGAGTTGGGCTTGGTGGTTCGGACATCAACCTGCTCTCACTTCCTGCTCTCGCCGGTGAGCAGAGGTCATCGGCATAAAAGTTTCGGGCTTCGGACATCCAGACTGTGTCCCGTGTCCTCTGCTCGGTTTCTGCTACCCGGTATCATCCTGCCCTATAACCCCGTTTCACAGGTCTCTCGGTTCAATGCAAGAAGCTCCACGAAACGGCAGTTCTGGATGGCGTCAGAAGCAACCCAGCCGGCGGGAAATCCTCAATGACCGGACGTACCGTGTCGAGGACTCTGTTTTGCTCCTTGACATCGCAAGGGTGAAGGGAGCCCGTTAGAAAAAGAAACATCTGATGACCCCAGTCCGACCAAAAAAGGAGAAGAAAAAAAAGCAAACCCCCAGGTCGGGCGTTGCGCGGCTCTGCCGGAAGACTAACCGACGCAACTCCACCAGCAAACGAAGATTCCAGAGCCCGGGTGCTTCAACAGTCTTGAAACCCTGAAACTCGCAATGAACCCTCCGGGGGTTATTTGTCCCGCTCTGTGACACCATCCGCAGCTCCGAGCGACAGATTGGGGATAGCAAAGAGCATAACAGCAGCTGTGGTGGGGGGACCAGACAGCCAGACGGCAAGGCAAGTTGGCAGGGTAGCGCTGTGGTGATGTGATGTGATTACACCTGCAGCGACAAAACAAGTCTCGCCGCCTGCATGCCCCTACACTAGGAGTGCAGCGGTGCAGTGGTGCTTTTTGGCGGGGGGATATGCCGCTGTGCATCCATTTTGTCGCATCTTGTTCGCATCTTACCACAGCTCAGCTCAGTGCCGGCGTGGCGCCAGCCTTGTTTTGTCTGCGTTGCTGCGCATGTCTGAGTGGGATTGTCGTTTGTACGAAGTATCCGTATTGGGGAAGACATACCTCCGGACATACTGTGGAGGGTGCGTGTGGATATCCGGTCGGTTAGTTGCCGCGCATGTTGTGTCGAACCTACATAGTACACAGGTGCAAAGGTAACAGGAACCTATGACGAGGAACCTATAATACCCCACCAAGGCCGATATCCTGTCGAAAATCTCCCTTTTCTGTTCGTCCCTGGGTGGGATATTTCCGGGAACGTCTGCACGATCTATTAGGTCGATCTCGGTTAGCACCTCGAGCGTATATATTACATGTGTACGTTGACGACTGAATCAGTGGCATCTGGGGGAGGGGGGGTATACTGATGATACCGAGTCCCGCTCCCGAGTCCCGGTTCCCGGCTTCCCTTCCGACCTGAACTGAGAACGACCTGTCTGTTTACTGGGTATGGGCAGAGTGACATACATCAGTCATGTGTATACTACATAGTACCCATCTTGAAAGTGGCCGTGGCGTGAGTGGGAAGGGTCCAGAGCAGGGTTAAGCAAAAGTAAACAGTACAGAAAGAAGACATTGAACAGGACCATAATGAGAACCCAAACACGTCGTTGGCATGATAGAGTTAGAACCTAGGTATATGGGATGGGTCATATATGACCTGCTATGCGTTACGGAGATACAGAGTACAACGCCCCAAAGTACAACCGGGAATCCAACGCGCAACACAACATCCAACGTCGTGTAACCGGAGGTTGATGTCCTTCCATGTATGTTGATAAAGACGTCTGATCATATGATATGTAATAGTGTACCTAACCTCCCACACACACACCACACACACACACACACACACACACACACACACGAGTATACAGATACCACGGTGACAGACACGGACAGACAGTGACAGACAGACAGACATAAAATAACAAGATAATATCATGACAACAAAACGACAAGACAAGACAAGACAAGACAAGACAAGACAAGACGAGACAAACCCATGCCCCGCCAACCAACCCTCCCAAGAACAAATGAGGAAAAAAAGCCAAAAAATACATGAACCAACAGGACCCAACAGAACCCGACCCCAAAAAAGGGTCGAATCGAGTCCCATCCGTCCATCCATCCATAATAAACACCGCAACACCTCGACGCCATCCACCGCCATCACCACCGAAAAAAAAAGGTCCAGCTGGAATTCCCCCCCTATCCCTCCTCTCCAGTTGTGTCTTCCTTCCATGCTGCCATCCCACGCCTTAGCCCGAGATAAGGAGAGAGCCAAAACAGAACGGTAAAAAAAAAGAACGCCCCATGTCCATCCAAAGTATAGTTTCCTGGCCCGTCTGCCCCGTCTGCTCGTTCCTTTCCTTTCCTTTCCTTTCCTTTCCTTTCCTTTCCTTTCCTTTCCTTTCCTTTCGTGGTCGTGCACTGCCCTGTCCTGTCCTTCTTCCTGCTTCCACCCTTCCCCCACCTGCCGGGTCATGGAGAACAAAAGAAAGGGTATGGGGATAAGGGCCGGAGCTGTCTCTCTAGCTGGCTGGCTGGCTACTATAGCCCAACAGCAGCAGCAGCAGGGAGCGATGATGATTCCCGGTGGCGATGATAATCCCGGAGACAATAATGGCGGTTTTAAGACCCCCTCCATGTTTGTGTGTTTTGTTGGCGGGTTTGCTCGGTTCAGTCCGTTGGGCGGGTGCGGTTGCTGTGTATTCCTTTTTCTTTTTCTGATCCGCGCGCCCCCTCTGTGTTGTTTATTTCTGTTTTTTATTCACCCGCCCACCCCATCACAATCACAACACAGCCCCGTCCGTTTATCCCGTTGTCTCATCACCCGACATGTGCTCATATCCCGTTCCTTCCCAGACACCGTATCCTGTACCCCCATATGCACCAACCGGACGCCTGGGGAGGAGAGACCGTTCTCATAACGATCCAGTCCTTGGCGCAGATCCACAGATCGCCAACCTGGGAGGGACTGTCTCCGGTATCATAACCCGATCCAACGTGAGGGGTAAACCAACAAAAGAAAGCAAGGAAAGTTGGGGTAAAACGAACGGTCCCGGTAAATGTAATGGGTAGGTATCTGCTCCGGTCTCTCTCATGGGTATGTTGGAGTGACCTTGGTTGGGATAATCAATCCCAGATATCGTCAACCGTCTACAATGTTGACGGTTCGCCTTGGTTGTATGAGAGCGGGCGAGAGCAAGAGCGGACATGAAAGTGAGAGAGCCAGGGTAAGAGCTAAAGAGAAAAAGTGACAAGCATCTCAAACTTAGGCACTCCCCCTCTCACCCCCCCGATGTCCATGTCCATGCCCGTTCCCATGCCCCCCAAACCCATGAATAGGCTTCCTCCTCACAATAAACGGACTGGGCATATCATCCGTCTCCGGATCCCACACCGCCGCCGCCCCGCGATTCGCAGCCGCCGCGTGTTCCCTGAACGCCCGCATGGGACTAGCATTGCCGGCGACTCCGGTGTTCACTGTCGGTGGTTGTTGTTGTTGTTGTTGGGGAGCACTGCCGCCCGTCACCATGTTGGCGGAGTATTCGCTCGGGTAGACGGCGCTTAGTGGACGGCCGCCGGCGCGGGCTTGTTGTAGTTCGACGAGGGTGCGGCCGCGGACTTGGGTCTTGCTCTTGCTGTTAGCGTTTGAGCCTTGTTGTTGTTGCTGCTGCGGTTGCTGTTTCTGCTCGTGGGAGTCGTTGATGATATTCTCCTTTTTCCCACCTGCGACATTCCCCATCGACGGCTTGCTGTTCAACTGCCCGTCATGCGCATTCCCGCTGTTATTAGCCTTGAGGCTCGCAGCCGAAGGGATCTTGCTAAGTCGCCTGCTAGGACTAGTAGTGCCGCTGCGATCCCCCGCGCTCCGCGCCGTGTGCAGATCCGGCGTCGACGCAGCCACGGGAATGGTCTTGCCCTGTGATGCGAGCCCCGGCTGCGATGGCTTAGATTGCACCCGGTGGACTGGCATCGACTTTTGGGCGTGCAGTTGCGGTCGGCCCTTGGCGAGGAAGGGGTTCTTGATGGACTTGATCATGCGCGTGGGCGACGGGAGCGGCATGTCGTCGTCGTCGTCATCGTCCAGGTCGTCGACCAGGCCGTGGTCGTCATCGCCGAGGTTGTCGTGGTCCGAGCCGCCCCGACCGGCTGCTTCGTCGTCTTCCCGCCCGGTCCACCGCGACTGGGCGGTGAAGATATTCCCTGGGTTGACCACCGGGGCTTTGGTGCCGACGTGGCGTCGGGGTGAGAGGGAGAGCGACGCAATGGCGATGGGTGAGGGGGACGCCATCTCGATGTCCATGGGCGTGCCCGCGGGGGCCATGGCATACATGGTCTGCGCCCGGCCAAACGGTGTGCGCGCGTTGGGGTTGATGTTCGTGTTAAGATTTGTCGTGCTCTTCTTGGTGTGCGCCGTCGTGGTCGGGACATCAGAAGGGGACTCCTCGCCCGACAGCTCCGACATGTCGGTGACAGCGGACAGCTCGGCGGCGTCGTTCTGGCTCCCGATCGAGGAATAGGGGTACTCAGACCGCGAGACCGATGAGCGGAGGTCCTGCCGGTCCTGCCGGTCCTCCTCGTCCCGCTTGAACTGCTGCACCTCGGCGTCCACGCGCAGACGCACCTCGTGATCAAACTTGCGCTGCAGCTGCTCAATCTCCTGCCCCACGAGCCGGTCAATCTCCAACCGGGCCTTCACCTCCCACTCCCGCCGCAGAGAAGCATCAATCTCGTGACGCATCGACGCCTTGTCCTGGTCCAGGGTCGCCAGCTTCTGGTCCAGGTCACGCATCCGCCGGTTGATGGCCTCCTCTTTGGCTTTCAGCGTCCGGCTGAACTCCACCACCTCCTTCTCCTTGCGCATCAGCCGCACCACGGGCAGGTTGAGCAGCATGGCCGTGTCGGGCCGCCGGTCCGGGTTCACCCGCAGGCAGTCCTTGATGATGGCGAACAGCTCGGCCGAGTAGATAGCCGGCAGCGGCGCAATCTTGCCTTCTTTAATCTTCTGCACCAGCTGGAAGTGCGTCTTGGCGTTGAACGGCGGCTCGCGCGTGCAAAGCTCGTAGATGATGCACCCCAGGGACCAGATGTCCGACTTGAGCGTGTACTTTTCGGCCGCGCAGATCTCGGGCGACATGTAGAATGGCGTGCCGACGTAGGTCGAGGCGAAGTCGTGTGATTGCATCACCTTGGACAGCCCAAAGTCGCCCAGCTTGACCGAATTGTCCTCTCCGAGAAATACTGAAGTCACAAGATTAGCCCGTTTAAATCCCACCCACAGCAAAACACCACCACCTACCATTCTCCGGCTTCAAATCCCGATGCAGAATCGTCATCCCCCCCGTCGGCGGTTTCGGTCTCGCCGTCGACCCCAACCCCAGCACCGCCTTGCCCACCTCAGGCGGATCAACCCCATAATGACACCGATACAGCGCCGTCACCAGCTGCGAGAAGATACTCCACACAAACGATTCCTCAGCATACTGGTTCTTGTCCTGCAGGCTACGGATCACCCGGCCGAGATCCCCGTTGCCGCAGTATTCCATGTACAGGTGCAGGTCCTGGCTCGCTTTGAGGTGCTCGCGGTGGTAGTAGCCGACGATGTTGGGGTGTCGGAGGGTGGAGAGGATCTGGAACTCGGCGTGGAGCTGCTCGCGCTCTTTTTGGGACATTTTGAGGTAGCTGATCTCTTTGCGGCAGAGGACCATGCCGTCTGTTCGGCGCCGGACTTTGCGGATGATCCCGAAGGAGCCATGGCCTAGTGAACCGGGTCATGGTGTGGTTAGCTGATGTGGGACGAGATAACAAACGAACAAGCAAGCAAGGGATACACAGAATGCATACCGATCTTTTCTAGTATCTCGTACTTCTCGCTTTCCGACATGGCGGGCAACTTGGTTGTGTGCTCCGGAGGAATAGGGAATTTAACCGTTTGTTACTTTGTTTAGGCGGTGCGCTCCATATGCAAAACGCTAATGACAAGCCAAGCAAGCGGCAGGAAGAAGCAAACGAAGTAAAAAACAGAAAAGAGAAGAGCAAGTTGCGTTGTTGTTGCTGTGGAGGGTTAGTAGTCGCTGAGGCCCAAGACGGTGACTGCAGAAGACAAAAGAGGAAGAGGAAGAAAAAAATAGGGTCGATGGGGAAATTCCGCAAAAGAGCAACAAGCCTGCATGCAGTTCGCTTGTTGGTTTTGGGACTGGTGGATGTTTCGTGGGTTGCACTTTTGCTTGCCTGCTTGATTGCTTTGCTTGCTTGCAGTGGCAGTTGGGCGCTGGCCGGCCCCGTCGGCAGACGCACGCACAAACCCTGGGCATCACCAGTCAACAAACCCGCCGCTGCCTGGGCAACCGTCCGGATTGGGCTGGTTGGACCCCACTAAAATGCAGGGGGCAGGGCTCTCCATTGGGAACAACGTGGTTCCCTGGGGCGTTGGTCCGTGCGCTCTTTTTTTCTTCAAGGGTTCAGTTCTCTCTGTTAGCATGTGCGAGCACTGTACTAGAAACTGTGTGGATGGGCCCCGGCACACGCCACTTTTGAAGCGCCATTGTATGGGCTTTGAGTTGCCCCTTCCGGCTGGCTGAGACTAACAAAGTTCAATAGATTTTGGCGGTTTTCATTGTTTGGAACCTTGGTGAGATATTCTGGGATATTCCTTTGCTTCGTTCATATATTTTGCTCTCTTGGGTCCTTTCTATTACATGTAGACCCTTCATTCCGTCTCTTCCGTCTGTTCCGTCCTCCCCTTCCTCCCCTCAATAGATGCCAAGCGCTATAGACGATATGTCCCAGATTCACAAGTTCGAGCTTGAAGCCAAACTCAAGGATGACAACCAACTCATCCGCACCGGCGTGCTCCGGAACGAGCACCCCTTTGACACCTCCGACGAATTTGCCGATTTTTTGCAAGCCTGTCGAAGAGGCGATCTGAAGAGTTGTCAGGAGTTGATTTCGGCCGGAGTTAACATCAATGCCAAGGACCAATTCGATTATACCCCGCTCGTCATCGTGAGTAAACTCCGGGCCTTCAAGATTTATGAGTGAGAGGGAGCGTTAACTGGGATGAATAGGCCAGTTTATGCGGTCATTTTGAGCTGGTTCAGTTGCTTTTAGAATCGGGTAGGTTGCCGTATTTTCCTAACTTCATTTATCATGAGATCCGTAAGAAAAACTCGGGCACTTACAAGGTTACTCAGGGGCGCTGGCGGATCCCGACTCGTTCGAGCGGGAACGGGCCGTGTACAATGCTCTCAACAACAAAATCAGAAACTTACTCCTGTCCTACGACTACTCGAAATCTGCCGATCCCCTGCAGGCCTGGTCTTCTCACATCTCCTCCCTGCTCGTCCGCGATGTCCCCTCGACCTCCGATATCACCCTCTCAGCCCCCCTCGAGGACTTCCGGTTGCACAAGTTCATCCTCTCCGCCCGATCCCCGTACTTTATGCGCAAATTCGCGGAAGCTCCCGAAACGGTCGTTTGGAAGCTGCCCCACGCAATCCCCGTGGAGGCGTTTCGCGTAGTACTGCGCTATCTCTACCTCGGCGACCTGCCCCGCGACTTTGTCGGCCCCAACAGTGCCGTTTCCGAGGAGGAAGTGTTCAAGGGCATCGACAAGCTGTGCCGGCAGCTCGAGATCGACAAGCTCTGGGAGTCGGTCTTGTCCAACGACCGCCGGCTGGCCCGGCAACGGCAGCAGGATGAGGTGCAGCGTGCTCAGGGGCAGGTCGAGGACTTGTTCCGTAACACGGTGCTCAAGCACAGGATAGAGATTGATACGCACCGGGCCAACGATGTGAAATGGCCGCATTACAACGCCATTTTTGCCGACTGTCTTCTCCGAGCTGACGACGATCCAGAGGATGAGGACTTTCTCGAGACAAGCGGCATCGCGAACGGGACCTCCATCCCGGTTGGGCCTGTGTTAGATGGCAACAACACCGCCCAAAACGGCACCGCCACCACCAAACCACCAAAACGCTCAGTTCTATTCCCAGCGCACAAATCCTTCCTAATCCGCAGCCCCTATTTCGAGACCATGTTCTCCTCCGATTTCCTCGAAGCCCACGACAAGGAACACCTGCACGTCATCAAAGTCGACTGCACCCCCGCCGTGCTCGAAATCATCCTCCGCTTCCTCTACACCGAAAAAGCCGACTGCCCCCTCGAACACGGCCTCTACCTGCTCTACACAGCCGACATGCTCCTGCTCGACACCCTCAAGACAAAAGCAGCAGCCACCATCTCCGCCCTCGGCAGCGGCACCAACAACGTCCTCGTCGAACGCACCCACGGTACCGCCAACGGTAACAACGGTAGCCCAACCACCACTAAAGGACAACAAAAACCGGGACCAGTCCCAGACCCGGTATTAACAGGGGTAGAAACAGAACCCATAAACGTCTACGACGTCCTCCGCGCAGCCTGGGACCTCAAAGTCCAACGCCTTGAAGAATTCGCCGCCCGGTACCTAGCGGGGCGGTTAGAGGATTACATTGACGAGCCGGAGTTTGCGGAACTTATCCGTGAAAGCGCCGACCGCATCACGGCGCGCCAGGATATTGATACCATTGAGTTGTTGGATGATATCCGGTATTATTTGTCGGAGAGGTTTCGGTTTCGGTTTGAGGGGGATGGGTTGGAGGAGATGTTGGGGGAGGAGGAGGGTGGGGAGGAGATACAAGGTGATGGTGTAGAGGTTGACGGCGAGATTGGTAACGGGGAAGTGAAGCCGGTACAGGTACAAGAGAATGGTGGTGAAAGGGGGTTGAATGGTAACGGTGGTGGTGGTGTCCGGGCGTTGAACGGGGAGATGGTGGAGGATGAGTTTGCGTCGGATGCGGTGAATTATCAGATCTTGTTGAACAAGATCGATGTCATGCTGGAGAGGTTAAAGTTGGAAGCATGATGCATGATGCTTCTGCATGGGGATTTTATAGAGCGTAGATCGTTTGGATAGCATTTGTATAGATGGAGAAAGGGGATGATGACGACTGCGTTGTGATTTCAAGCATTTCCCTAACGAAATAACATACTCGCACCGTTTCTGCAGGGAGTCAGGATATGCACGACCGTAACCCACTTACAACGTGCAACCCGATACCTATCTTACAGTAAAAGCTACTAGCAAGAATACGTCGAACTCCCCGAGCAGCTCTCGCAAAATCCTGCATTTTAACGCAGAAAGGGAAAGTCAACAAACCACCACCTATCATGCACCCATTATATCCTGCACGATACTCCCCAACCGGTCATCCAAGGACACAGTATCCATTATCTCGATCCACCCACGTATTCGTACCCTTCTTCTCGGTTTAGTATGTACATCCTCTCCAGGATGCACAATGTATGTACACACAGAATAAAAACACCCGGAACGGACATCTCCAACCCATCCAGCATGTGTGTGGTTTCACATATGCGCTTTATTGTAACTCCTCATATCGCCCTATCCCACTTACTTACCCCATTTGACCGTTATGGACTACGTAACCGCCGGTAAGACCCACGATACCGGAAATAAAAAGGCCGAGCGCTGCGGGCAGGCGGTTTTCGTTTTTGGAACGTAGACTAACTAGTTAATTAGACTAGCAGACTAAGTAGTTAGCGGATGACGAAGCGCCTGTGCCGTGTAAGCTAGGACCCGGCCGGCCGGACAGTGGGGTGGTGCGGTGCAGTGCGAATATGCAAATTTAGGCTTCCATAGTAGGATCAGTGAGCGGGCGGACGTTGATTACAACAATGCTTACAAATGGAGTACCATACCGTTGTGGGGGGGAAGGGAGGGGGCGGATATAATAATGATGATGTCGGGTGCAGTTTGTGTGGACTTCCGCTGCATCTCACTCTTCTTTTGGGACCTGAATAGTAATCTTCCTAGTTTGTGAAATCTCGGGATAAAAATTAGGCAAGATGGGTCAAATCGATCGGTTGGCGATATTCAAGGCGGTGGATGAGGCCGCTCGGGCGAAAATGGTTGAGGCCGCCTTGGAGTTCTTTTCGCAGGTCAAGAAGGTGAGTGTTGGAGCTCCAGACCACCCGCTTGTCAGGTAGAGGCTATGTATCAAGTATCCAAGCTAACGTCTCACTCTCCAGTCCGGAAACCAATATTTTTCCAAGTATGACACCCCCGCTCGCCATTGTTCCAGTCCCGAACCTTGCTAACCCAACCCAGCAACAGCGTGTCCTTCATCCAGAACCATGAGGATCCACGTGCCCACGGTTATGGTGTGGCGCTGCGGTTGACCTTCGACAACGAGCAGGGCATCTCCTACTACGACCGGGAGTGCCCGCTGCATCTAGAGCTGAAGAAGAAAGGCGCCCAGTTGTGCACTGAGCCGCCCCTTGTGGTGCTGACGAGGTCGGAGGAAACCATCTTCGGGGAAGACATCGAGGAGGGGGTTGAGCCGTCGGAGGTTATTCGTAAGAAGCGGGCCAAGGGAGCGTCTTTCCCCAACTAGGGGAGTCGTGAAACTAGGTTCGGGCTGATGGGGGCAGGAGTTAGCAGAGTATATACCTGGGAATCGGGATGAATAAATCTGACAGCTGAAATACCAACCTAATCCCATCTCTCCATCCAGATTTCTCTGAGCGTCTAAATCTCACATTCTCCCCTCCGCCCTCTCCTTCAACCCCCTCAACCAAGCATCAAACCCCCGCTCAAGATGGCTCCCCACCGCCATCTTCACCACCGGCGCCAACGTCCCGTAAAAAGTCTCCCAGCAGCGGTACTCCGTCGCCGGTTTGCCGTCCGGGCCCACAGTCTCGATGAGGTCCTGCACTCTCTCCGATCGGAGCGCCCACCCGGGCCTCAGCCAACTTGGCCGCACCTTCCACGCGATGCGGAGGCCTTTTCTAGGGCTGGTAGTGACATTATCCGTGGTGATGTCGTGACGGTTTGAGTTGGTTTCGGGGCTGTTATTGTTGTTGTCGTTGTCGGTGTCGGTGTCGGTGCCGTCGTCGTCATCGTCAGTGTGGTCGTAGTTTATAGGCCCCAGCACGCTCACTTCCAACGCGACATGTTGGTCTGGCGGACCGGAGTCCGGTTTGTCCGGGGGGAGATACACGGCAAAGGTGAACTGGGTGCCCAGCCGTAAGGTTGTTGTGGTTAGCTGGTCCCGGGGAGCCGGGTCAGCCGGGTCTTGGTCCGAGTTGGGATCACCATCATCATGAGAGACCTGGGACCGGGGTTGGGTGTGGGTGTCGGTGTCGGCCGGCTGGGAGTCAATTGTGCATGTGCGGCAGAAGCGGTTCCAAGCGGGATCTTTGTTGAGAATGCTTTCATTAGTTCATTACATAATGATGGGAGAGACTCAGGGAGCGAAGTTTGCTAGTTTCGGTTACGGGTGCTTTGTCTCGGAATGATTGTCCGTTTTTTTTTTTGGGGAGTTCTTTTTGGGGGCTGAAAAGCAACCCGACTGGTGGGAGACTCAAACAAACATAGGAGACATACAGTCTAACGAGTTCACAATCACATTGAGGCATTCTTCGGGCGTGGCTTCGATGAGAGCGGTGCATGAAACTGAGAAGGTGCCCCCGGACCCGTGGGTAGGTGTCGGAAGCGCCGGGCCTAGGGACGCGCCATTGTCTGAGCGGCTTGTCGTTGCCATGATGCTTGAAGACGATATGTCTAGAGTATCCGCAAATGAGAGCGTTGCCCTCGGTCAATGAAACCGATGCTCAATTGACCGACGGTCCATCCCACGCAATGCTGGCAATGGAACTGCAGTGAGCAACAGGGCATGCCGGTACTTGGGGGTGATCTTTTTGGCCCCTGCTGCGGCCGGTGCAGATGCTCCAGGAGCCCGTTCCCAGAAGACGGACTTGCTGTGGAAACAGCGGGGAAAGGACCGCGGCAGTGGAAGGCCCCTTCCCTGTCAACTTGGCTCTCCCTGGGAAGCACGGAAGTCAAAGGGTAGGCCCCACTCCCGGGTTCCGGGCTCCCCTGTGCCTTCCCTGGAGACATCAGTTTCATCCATCGCCCTTTCCGTCCACCGGCATTCAGGTGTGGGTTTTCTTCTTTTCTTGCGATGCATTGGAGCTCGCAATCTGCGGGGTTCGACCGGCCATTTGGGCGGAGTTACCCGGCGTCGACCTGACAGCAAACCATGGAATACTACGCCGGACCGCGCCAGTTCATGCTAACGCGTGCGGTCAGCGGACCCAAGGCCGATCAGGGCCACGAGGTGGAGGGATGAGGTGGTTGGATGGATGGGTGGGTGAGTGAATGAATGGTCGAGTGATGGCCGAAAGACGTGATGCAGTTCCCGGAAAGCGTCTCGGGACCCAAGAGGCTCCCTCCCTCGGCTCGGACACTGGACGGCAGGCCAGCGGCAGCTAGTGTAGTCCCGTCTTACGCAGTCAAGGCAGTCATCCGTCGACATCACCCATCAGCCATCACCTTCCCACCTATCCCATCAGTGAGAGCTACTGTACCGAACCCCCTCTCTCCACCCCCGGCCAAGGGTACATCTTAGTACATAGTAGTAGATATCGGGTCGAACCTTATTCTAGAAAGGCGGGAAACACCCGCATGATCCGAGTTGCTGTGGCGGTTCTTGAGCGCCACCAGTGCACCACACAACTTCGGGGGGGGCCACTTTCTCCCGTTTCCGACCGGGACCGCTCACCCCAGCTTCGGTTCCTCTTGTTGGCTACTCAAGCGAAAAAAAGGCTTGAGGTTGTTGGCTGGGGTGGAGGCCGTTCCAAGCAGCGGTAGTTTGCTCAAAATGTGCCCTGATCGCCAGTCGTTAAGGAGACGGGACCTGCCCTTTTCTCTTTTGTTCCTAGATTCTTAACGTTTGCTGTGTAAGAACAAGTCCTCATCGGCAACCTTCACGATGACATCTCCATGGCAGAGCACGCCACAGACCGGCGGGGCGCTTATCGAACCGGACGACGAAGAGAACGCCGGGACGATCGACGGGCAGAACATTCCAGCACAGAATCAAGACGCACCAGGCCCGTACTGGAATCGCGTCTGGCCGGATGGTGTCGTGATACCGCCTCCCCCAGTCTATTACCAACAGCACTACGACCCTCAATATCAGTATCACTATCCTGAGCCTATTCCGCAACAACCACCGCCAGACCCTGTGCCTTTTTCACCGCACGATGCCGGCCAAGCCCAGCAGGCCAACCAAGAGTACAGCCAAACGCAACCACACGTCGACGAAGGCTTGGACCTCACCTCACCATCAGTCGCCCATCCGCCGCCGCAGCAAAGCACGAATTATACCCAGCCCAACACGTCTCATGCTCCCCATGACCATGCCGGGAAGCCTACCTCAGAACCAGCTTTCCATCCCAACCCACAGTTCCAGGACCGCCCACGATGCGGTAAGTTACAACCCCCACGATCACCTAATATCAGAGACTCCCATCTCCAGCTCTACGATCATCCCCTAACATACGTGTCCAGAGGTATGGCCTCTCACATACCGATCAGTCCACGGCTACTTCAAAGTTATCTGGTGCGTCCAGATCGAAGGCCAGAGCCACTACCAGTACCAGCCCCCCAACCTCGAAGAGCTCGCGCGCCACTACCACCTGCTGTATTTCCCGGACCAGGCTAGCCACGACGCTCAGTTTAGTCAGCCGGGGCCGTGATGTCCTTGGTGTAGTAGAATTCGACGTTCGACATTCGAGTTCGAGTTCACCCCCCAAAAACAGGACACGGTTGTCCACGACAAGGCAGGCCCACGCTGTCCGCCCGCACTTTCGATCCGACGAATGCTAGACGGCCACCGCGCCAGACTGTTGTCTCAGACGTCGGGACTCGAGCCTTTTCGTGGGTACACCGGAACTGACGCTGGGTGATACCGTGCGGAGTAACATGCCGTCAACATGCCGTCGCCCAAGGAAGCGAGACACGGCTCTCTGCGCTCAGCACGAGTTCTTCCCATTAGGGGACCTATCCACATTTGAACACCAGTCACCAGAACGATTCCCAAAGAGTGCATCCTCCCGTCTCTTCAGGAATACCATCGATATCACCAAGAGAATAACCATGAAAACGGAAAGAAACCCGGAGTCTTTGGTCGGGCACAAGGTCAGGCGGTTATCATTATGAGGGAGGGGCTGGGAAGATAGATGTCTCATCACCCCCTCTGTCCTCGGTTGCACACTGGGGTCTCACATACCCGGGATCCTACGCAATCTTGTCGTCCAACGGCCGCAAACACGATGGGCCTTGGTCTGTGTGTACCTTGGTCTGTGTGTACCTTGGGTTCTTTATCATTGGTGGGTTAGGTTTGGGCTGTGGTGGTAATGGGATTTTGGCCCAAGGGAGCGGTGAATACATGCTTGGAGTGAGAAATCAGGAGGTTGTTGTTGGGTTTGACTTTGGCGACGTATATGGCGGCTTTGACGGGTCCATGTTGCCATGAGCAGGAGAACGATGAGATGTGCGGATGGCATCAGATTGAAAGTATAACAGTCGAGTAGTAAACCACCAAACAAAGCTCAACCCACTGATATAAATATACCATTCCAAGCTAAACCTCAACCCCAAACACCCCCTACCTAACCAAAGACCTTAAACTACTCACACTCGACATCTCCACATCCCCATTCCCCCTTACCCTTTCCCTACCCCCCTCCGCCCGTCTCGCAAAAGCCTTATGCCGCTCCATAACACCCACCACATCCCCCGTCCCCGTCCCCGTCCCCGGCCCCGCCGGTCCCGGTCCAGACCGCCGCGCCTGACGGTACGCCCCCAAACTCAACACCAACGCCACCACCGCAACACACGTCATAACCAGCACCTGATCCCGAAAGGCGTCCAGATACACCCGTGTGACTGCCTCCCATCGTACCTCGGACCCGTCGGGCAGCGCGAGGGCTGTTGTCCACCATTGGCTGGGCTGGATCTGCTCGCTACTATCACTACCGCCACCATAGCCATAGCCATAGTCATAGCCATAGCCATCACCGCCGGCTATAGCAATTACCACCGCCCCCGCGGCTGAGGCAGCTCCTTCCCCCGCGGCTGAGGCAGATGCAGAGGTAGAGACAGCAGAATGTCTCCCCAAAACCCCCTGAAAAACAATCGTACAAACCGCCAACCCCAGCGCGCCACCAAATACCCTAGCCTGGGCCACAGCACCCTGGGCAGCGGCTAGGTCCCGGTGGTGCGACTGGATGGCGGCTGTCATGGTGCAGGAGGCGAAGCAGAGGCCTATGCCGAGACCGTAGAGGGAGAGGAGGGAGAGGAGGAGGGGGAGGGGGACCATACTTCCTGTTGTTGCTGCTGCTGCTGCTGCTGCTGCTGCTGCTGTGGTGGTTGTTGATGGTGGGGTTGTTGTTGTTGTGGTCGTGGTGATGGTGGTTGTGGTGGTTGTGGTGGTTACCGTCAGGGGAAAGGAGGTCGAAGAAGAATCCCCCTGAGGGGCATAAACATACGAAAACGCCAGCACCAGTCCCAATCCCACAGCCTGCAACAGACCCCCCGCGACCAGAGTCTGACTGGTGAGGTTGGTACGTTTGGAGAGTGCGCCGCCGAGAAAGGAACCCAACGCGCAGGTTCCTAGCATCGGGACTAGGTGCACGCCGGCCCAGAGCGCGCCGTCGCCGTGGACGATTTGGAGGTATTCGGGGACCTTGATTACGAGGGATATGTAGATGAAGCCGTTGAGGAGGGTTACCCTGGAGATGTTAGCTTACTGGATACTGGGTAGAGACGATTTGAAAAAAGGGTCAAGGACGTACAAAACGCAAAGGATATACACCCTATCCCTAACAAGCCGAACAGGCAAAACAGGCTCAACTTGTTTTCCCCCTTTCCGGCTGCTGTTGGTGTTGGGCAGTAGGCGTTTCTTCTTCTCTCTTTGGAAGAGGTAATACTCCCACCCGCCTAGCAGCAGCCAGCACGCTCCTGCTGTGGCCAACGACCAGACGATTACAGGACTGGACCAGGTCCAGACTTGGGCGCCGGCTTCTTGGAGAGCGAAGATGAGGAGGATGGAGGCCGCGGCTAGGAGGGCGTGCCCGAGAAAGTCGATTTGGGAGATGCCTGCTGGTTTTTGTTGTTGGTCTGGTGTTTCTTGTTGCTGATCGTCCTGCTCCTGTTGTTGTCGTTGCTGCTGTTGCTGTGGCTCATGATGTTCTTGTCGCTCGGGCTGCCGCAGTCGCTGCCGTCGCTGACCAGGCCAGAGGATATATATCCCCAGCACCGCAAGCACACCAAACGGCAGACTACACCATACGGTCAGCGCCCGACACGCCCGCTAACCCCCCTCACACAAGACAAGGAGGGCAAGTAAAAGAAGAAGAAAAACCCACTTAAACCAAAAAATAGCCCTCCAATTCCACTCCGCCAACGCCCCGCCCAACACAGGACCCAGCAAAAACGAAATCGACAGCGTCACGCCCACCAGCGCGCCGACTACCTCAGGCCGGCTCGGCCCTTGCTCCAGCAGGCAGACTTGGGCGAGACTGTACAGACCTGAGCCGCCCATGCCTTGGACTGCGCGGCCGGCGATTCTATGACTTTATCAGTACAAGTACCGTACCCACGGTTATGGTATCTTGGGGGATAAAGGGTGGAAAGGGGGGGGACTTACAGCTCGCCCATACGCCGGGCGATTCCACACCAGGCGGAGCCGAGGGTGAACAGCAGCCAGGCGATGGCGAGGATGTTACGGCGGCCGTAGACGTCGCTGAGTTTGGAGAAGCCGACGGCGAAGCCTGGATTCTTGAATGTCAGTTACACCTGGGTGGGTGGGATAAAGAGGGAAACTGAGAAAAGGCTGAAGGGAGGACACACTCATATACGTCAGGAGATACCCCAACACAAGCCACGGCGTGTCCTGGTAGTTGGCAAACTCGGCCGAGACCGAGACGAGCGCCGTCGAGACGATGGATGCGTCGAGGCAGGAGAACATGAGTCCGGCGCAGATTCTAGTCAATCAATAGTTAGCTGGGGTCTTGCTTCTTTCCCGCCCTTTCCTATCCGTTTATTTCCCTTTTCCTCTTCCTCGGGGGTGTACTTACATCATAGTCAGCAACACCCGCCGCGCGGTGCTTCTCTTCTCGGGAAGATCCTCAGACAAAACACCCTGGTTCTGGCGCTCTTGTTCCCGTTCCTTTATTCTTGTCGTGTGGGAGCTGCTCCCGCTAACGGATCCATCGCGGGCTAAGGGCGGGGATGTTGCTGCTGTTGCTGCTGCTGCTGCTTCTGCTGCTGCGGCTGAAGATGGCGGTGGTGTTGATATTGGTAATGACGGTCTTTCCCCCCTTGCTATTCGAGACAAGGAGGGGTTTGGATAGGGGAGTGCCATGATTTGGGGTTGGTTTTGTTCTTGGTCTTGTTTTTGGGATGACATGGACGATGCGGTGAGCTGTTTCTAACACGGTCGTGTGGAAGCTTGTTGGTTGCTATCTTTTCTTTTCTCTCTTGTGTTCGGGGTTCCTTTCCGCTGCTGAGTTGATGGTATTGATGAAATGGTCGAAGAGAACCAAGGAACGAACTTCCCAGGCGGACGGCACCAATGGATGGGCTGTCACCCTCAAAAGCGGGGAGAGTATGGGTGAGTGAACCTGACCGTGGGTGCTGTCCTAGGTGAAGTGGAAAGACGGGATTACAGAAGAGGGAAATGCTAGTCACTGCTTTGATGGTGTTGCTGCTGCTGCTGCTGCTCGAGGACTTGCCGATCTGTATCCCCCCCTTCTTCTCCAGATGGGCCCAGCAAAGTAAAAAGACGCGAGGGGGGGGTGTGACATTTGTACACAAGCCATCGGCATTTACAGGTTACTGGAAACCGAGTGATATTAACCTGGGACAAGAACGGGGCCAGATGTACTAGGGCAGAAAATGCCAGACCTCGTCCTCAGGTCAGATCAAGTCAGATCAAGCCAGCTCTTGAAACCGAGACTTCCGTGTTGAACTCGAACCGCATAAGGGACATAAGGGATGCGGCCGCAGGTCTCAGTCTACCCGTTTCCCGCCCCCCATCGTCTCGGTCTGTTGTCTTAAACATCGGGGTCAAATAGGTAGCAAGTAAGCCCTGGAATGAACCCCGAGACCGAATTGCTTGTCTCGCCTTCAACATATCCCCAGGGACCGGGGGGCCTCCGAAAAGACCGACCGGATATAACGTTGCTACTTGCTTCCACGGACTTGTTTTGTCCCCAAAGTCGGTCGATTTCTGCATGTTTCCAGGCGGGGTCATCGTCACTTGTGACGCGGATGGTTGTGCCGGATGTTGTGGATGTGTGACTTGGTTGTGGCAGGCGGGTGTATTGTACAGGAGGTTGGCCGACGGTCCCGTGCTGCTTGAGCAGAGCATGGCTGGTGTTGAGGGCGAGCATGTAGGGTTTGGGAAATCATGATGGCCTGCGGTATCTAGACACTTGATGCAAGAAAAAACACCTTGCAAGGCCGAACATATTCTATCTCAAAGTGTAGCCAAACACCTCAACGTAGACCCATGAACTCTTTCTCTAAACAGCAAACCGCTTACCCCCCTCAGGTATCACCAACCCAACGGTGAACTGCATCCCGTCCCAAAAACCCAGGAACACAAACCAGCAACTGAGCGAGACACCTGAGCGAGACAACAAAACGGAAAGCGACGCCCACTCAGTCCTTCTGGGAAAGCTGGGTGGTAAGTACCTAAGAAGAGGGGCCTTCTGGATCTCTTTACTACCCCTTCTTCTTTCGGGTACACACACAACTGTAACCACCCGACGGGGTTCCCGCTGCGGGTTGGTCACACATGTTTTGGCTTGGGGCCCCCGTTGTGATACTATGTTACACAGACTCACAGAACACACACACACACACGTACTGGCTAGGTAGGTAGGTGGTTGATGGGGCGAGTGAGCATGTTAACGTTACTCGGATAACTGCTGCTGTTAGTACCAACCCCAAATTATTTATCTCTTTTTTTCTCTCGTTTGTTCCCTAAGTTTCCAACTCCCCTGCCTCCGGGGAAGGCTTCCGTGTTGCGTCAGGCGGGCTGGTGCAATGCAATGTAAACCAGGGCTATTGACGCTAACGTCTTTTTTTGGTGGACGTTCTACTTTGTTCTTTGGTTCATACTAACTGGCAGACGGAGGCGGGTGGCGGGATCGGCGATGCAGCAGGATCTGATGCTGTGTCATGGAAGTCGAGGGAGAGTGTTCTTCTCGGCGGGCGGGATTGGTTGCATGTTCGGGCAACTCGGTCTTGGGGAACGGGTTACCAGGTAAGAGGTTTGCAGGCGTTTGAGGCCAGGTTATTGATCAGGGGAATGGAGACTTTCTTGCTGAAGACGTAGTCTGTGATTACGATGCTTCAGGTGGTGGGGTAGGGTTTGCTGGTAGAAACTGCAAGGCCAATCAAGACAGGTACTCCATTGTTAAGGAAGAAGTTGTGTTACAAAATATGTTGTCAATACACGAGTTAGACAACACCAGTACCCTATGAACCACAAGCTCAAACTAGCTCAACAGAAGGGTATCAACTCGAAAATTAAAAAGGGTGTCAACCGCTCAGAACAGAATATCTCTCTCCCCCATCGCAACGCGTGCCGACCTTCCGTCATAAACCTCTTGCCTCTCATCAATCAACCCCAAGTCTTTTCATGCTCAACCGCGCTATGCTAATCTCCAACCGAATCAACCCACTTACTTACCCTCCACAGCTTCACTCTCCGGCCCCGAAGCCGCTCCATTCCCGTTAGCGACAACGGGGGCCTTCTCCTCAGCAGCCGTGGCGGTGGCCGTTTCGTCGGCCGTAGTAGCGCTCGGCTCAATCGGGGTTGATTTCACCGCCTGCTCAGGCTGCCAAACAGCCTCGATCACGCTCATCCGGCATCCCTTGGCTCTCGTGACACCCTGTTCCACCATCATCGTCAGCAAGCCTTCTCAACCAACAAAAAATCTGTCATCTCTCTCTCCTTTTCTTTCTCATAAGACTCACCTTGAAAACAAACCCCTCACTCGCCGCAGCAAACAACTCTCTAAACTCCCTCTCCGTCCGCTCCTGCGCATTCAGCAGCGTCAACATAATAACATCCATGCGCCGAATAACCTTCTCATCCCAAGGGTTCTCCTGCCCCGCCTCCCGCAAACAGTGATCGTTAATGACAACACGCGCGCCCGGCTTAAGAGCAGGAATCAAACTCTTCAAAATGCGCACCGCATACGGCGTCGAGTAATTATGCATGATCCAGCGGAAGAAATACACATCCGCGCCCTTGGTCGGCTGTTCGGTAAAGAAATCGTGCGCTAGCAGAGTAATCCGCTCAGCGACCTGGGGATCCGCGCTCAGCGGCTTAGGCGCGCTGTCGACAGTCTTCGGCAGGTCCTGCACGACAAACTTGAGGTTCTTGTACCGCGCGGCGAGGTCGACGCACAGGAAACCGTGCGAACCGCCCACGTCGACAAACGTGCCGCCCGCCGCGTCAAGGTCGCTCAGGTCGTAGCCGCCCTTGTCCACGTCGACGAAGAACGCCGGCTCGTACCCTTCGCCGCCTGTCAGGCTGGCCATGGACTGGCCCATGCGTCGGGCGCGGGCGGGGTCTTTGCCGAAGGTGACGAACATGGGTTCTTTGTCGACGGTGTTGAAGGCGAATTGGAAGCCGGACTGGGTGAGGGAGGTGGCTTCGGGGTAGGTTTGGAGGGCTTGGAGGACGTGGCCCGCGGAGGGGAAGATGTCTTCGCCGTTGAAACCGATCCAGGCTTGCATGTTGGCGTCTTCGGCGAGGACGCGGGACGCTGCGGTGTGGGCGATTACGTCGGGGCTGGGTTCCCGGAAGATGCCGTTGGTCATGGCCATGCGGAGCAGCCGGGCGAGGTTGATGGGATCCAGGGAGGTCTTGGTTTGCAACTCGGTGAGGGTAATGGTTGAGTCGATGGGGACGAGTTTTGCTATTGCGCGTGTTAGCTGGCAAGGGCCATGTGGGAGACAAAACCTGTTCATGGTCATCTTACCAATCCCGTAATGGTTAAGGGCGGTAAGGGCCACGGTATCAAGGTACTAAGCACATGGCTGTTAGCATCGATCTGCAATACAGTCCCAAGATCAAAACAACAAACACTTACCTCCCAAACCCCCCACCTCACAGACTCACGCGGGCCGTGGGCCAGGCGCCCCAACTCCTTGGTCGCATGGATGATCTCCTGCCGGCTCTGCTGAACGTCCGGAGGGAGGGTCGGGAAATCGGCTGGGGAATCGACGTCGTCAAAATCGGGCATGGGCAGACCCTGGGACGTCATATGCGCCTCTAACTTCTCCGTAGCTTTGGTAATCGTCTGAGCAAGTGCGATCATCCGGGAAGTGGACGGTTCTGGCTTTGGCTTTGGCTCAGATTTTGACTCCTGTTCTGAAACAATCGGAGCCGGAGCCGGACGTGGAACCGGGACTACGTTGGATTCGACATCCTTGTGTCGGCGGGATGATGACAGGGCGGAGAAGGACCGGCGGTTCTGCTTCTTGGTCTCCGCGTCGGGGCTCGGGGACGGGCTGGAGTGGAAGAGCGAGCTCAACCTAAATTTGGCCTTGCTCATCTTGACAGTCCGTCGCTACGAGGAAGGATGTGCTGCTTTGGTAATGAATTGAGTGTCACTGCTTGCATGATCAGTATGTAACAAGAGGTGGCGGTTAAGAGATCCATTTTCCCTATCTCAGCTCTTGAAGGGCTACTCTGTGTATGTGTATCATCTGCCATGCACGCCTGTCTTTTGTTCCGCAAAAGGCAACGAGACCTAATAAACTCAAGGCACGCTGACATGAAAGTGAATTGAAAGGCAACGACGAGAATGAAAACGGAAAAGTGGAAATATACCCGGTAAGGTGGTGACAGATTCGCCAGACTGTACAACACAGCGATATATGCCCTATCCAGATTGCTGTGAGCTATCCCACTCCAGGCCACGGGAGCTGCCATGCAAGCTTACCGAGCTCGGAATGCTGTTCTCGGATACACTCGACCGAGTTTCGGGGTACACGGCGGCTGTTCTGATGCTTAAAATTAGCCACAAGTCGGGGCCGCCTGTCAACTCCACAGGGCTTGGAGTCTAACTCCAGTCAAGAGTCGAGGAATGTGAATGCTGGGCTAGATAACACGGCCTGACGCGGTGAATGTGCAAAGAGATGGCTACAATGAAGATATATGAAGAAGGAAGTCTCAAAATGTGGCGGTTTACGTACCAGGTCGGTGGGTATGACGGCTAACTAGTATGTCCGAAGCGGTGTTGAAGAGCAAGGGTGGCTCGTCCCGAACCGGATCCACGGGTTCATGCGAGGAAGGTCAAAGCGAAATGAAAGGTAAAAAGATTCCAAAGATTCCAAAGGCTTTGTTTGTCGTCGAAGTTGGTTCCCTTCCTCGGGGGCGAATGTGACCACTGACCCGCGCTTGTTTCTCGTTTTCTCCATCTTTCGTCTCTTTCTCTTCTGCCCGGCCCACCACCCCCTGAACCCGTCCGTCCCATCTTCGGAATCGTGCTGGCACCTCGCAGGGTCCGGAGCTCACCATTCCCCCAAAACCCGAGCAGTGCAGGACCAAGGAACTGGCGAGCCCCATCTGTCCCGGTTCGTTTCCATCCAGACTGTCGGTTATTACCGTGTCGGGAAAAGGCTAATGCAAATGCAATGTTGCAGTGACGTTAGCGGAATGGAGAGCCGGGAAGGACCAGACGACTGGCCATTGGCCAAACTCCGGGAGCCGAGGGGCTGGATGCATAATGTTAACGTTATGTCGGAGTATGAATTAAACAGCTTACTGTTCGGGACTTTTATGCGGATAGAGGCTTAGGATAAATTTATGCAATACTAACTGCCGTTTATGTAAATATTCCCTTGAATGCTCCCTAGCCATCACAGTAACCGCTGAGACGCCCAACAGGCGCGTGTTTCCGCGCGGTGATTGGATCGGTCAAGATATGTTTGTGGTTGCGGCTGTGACCGTGTTCTCGTGGTCCAACATCAAACACACAGGTCTGGCGCTTGGAAAATGTATTCTGTTTCTCGTTCTATAGATAGCAGGGCGCGTCGTGCCTCTGTCCGCCCCCTTCTGAAGGTCTCGTCTCGGAAATCCAGACTCAATTCGATTTGATTCGGTCTCACGTCTTCATCCTGCGGCACACCATGGCTACCCCCCCGACTGCTCCGCCCGGCACGCAGCCTCCGGCCGCGACATACAGCATGTACCCCGACTGGCCACGATCCAAGGCCGATCTTGTGCCATTACCGCGGTGTGAGGGCCCAAAGCTGGCCGCGTTTGACTTCAAAGGCCCGCAAAAAAATTGAGTTCCTCGAATATGCTGGCGAAGGACGACACGCGCATGTTTTCAAGGTCCGCATTCGGAGACAGATTTATGCGCTCAAGCTAGTAAGTTGCTATGGTATCCAAGTAACGCAACAAAACAAGGCTGGATTGGTTGGTTTTTTTTTTTGACACCACCGTGCGTATTCCAGTTTCGGTTTGTAGAGGACCAGGAATGGGTGAAATGCGTGGAGAGCATCGACGACTACGATCGCGAGCCCCTCAGCGCTTTCTATGACTACGCGGAACCTTTCAACTGCGAATGCCGCGCTTATGGGCGGCTTCAAGAGGCCGGACACGAAGACCTTGCCCTTCGTTGCTTCGGCTATGTACTATTAGACGAGGCCCACGAACGTATCGTGCTCAGCCAATTCCCCGACATCGACTTCAATGGCTCCTCAGATGACAATAGGTACGATTTGTACCGGAAACGCTTCCGCGGGCGAGATGGCCGGGTGCCGCCACTTCGAGGGATTCTAAAGGAGTTTGGGCACGCCCCAAAGAGGAGGACTTTCAAGCCGCCGACTTCCAAAAAATCCTCGACGACATAGTCCGTTTCTAGCAGCTCGGCATTATGCGCCTCGACCCTGGAACCCGACAGATGGTGTCGGGCAAGTTCACCGACTTCAGCAGAGCCATTACCGTACCATATTTTCTCACGACACCCGAGCTCAACCCTCACATGACACCTGCAATGCGGGAAGAGTTGGAACTCGAAGCTTTCCAACTGGCGCGAACCGAATATATCGAGTTCGATTTAATGATGAGCGACTGGAACTCGGAACATGGCGAGAAAAAGGGCTTCATTGATCTGTCTGCCTTCACCAAAGAGGAGAAAGAGAACCGTTTAGCGCTGACACGGCCCCGCCAGTTGAGGAACGTTGCGGCCCGGAACCGTTTTTGCACCCGCGTCGACCCACGACGCTACAACTAGAAATGGCGTGCCAAGGACGGAAGAAAACGCCGGCGGCAGCTGCGAGCACGGCCTGCGAAATGGTACTTCAATTGCGGTGAAGACAAGGTGGTGATTGCACTACTACACCGTCACCATGACCACCACCCAACACCGCCGTGGGAATACAAAGATGGGTTCATGCACCCGACCCTTGAAATAGAATACCGACAACATCGCAATTCAAAAGATATCTGCCGCGCCTGGATAAACAAGAAATGGAAAATCTAATCCGCAAACTCCCCCACATGATCCCCGAGTGTCCAGTGCCCAGTGTCGAATGGCCAATGTCCAGTTCTGTTTCCACCGCCGAAGCCAGCCGCCCCGAAGCCGTTATCAAACCCCATCCCCTTCCCCAGGCCATTGACATTGCCCAAGTTCCCGCCCAGGTCGCCCTAGATATTCGCGCCCATGCCCCAGTCGATGTCCTCGGCCACGTCGAGGTCCAGGTCAAAGTCCTCGCCCAGGTCGAAATCGTCGTTTCCGTTAACGCCGACCCCGGCCGCGAAGGCAGCCGGGTTCCCCGGAGACGGGTCCCGGTACGCAGGCGGCGGCGGCGTAGGGGGGTCCGATGGCTCCTGGAAGTTGGAGTACCGATGTTGGCGCACCCAGCCGTCCAGGCCCTGGCGTTTCTCCCATTCCCCCACGCCAACCGCGTCTTCTTCGGGCATCAACGCGCGGTGCTCCGGTGCCGACATGGACAACATGCACATCCACCATAACGCCAGATCTGTCGTCAGCTTTTCGTTGCCGGACCGGGCCCAAGGAACCGGCATCATTGCCGCCTTCCACTTCGGATCGAAGCCAACCGCCCCATTGGCCTTTACCACCCTCACCTTCTTTCTGTAGGAACAGCACACGACAAGGTGTTCCTCCGTAACGATATACCCATAGCGCGTTTTGGCCAAGCTGCACTGGTGAGCCAGCTGTCGCAACGGCCACACACTGCCATCCTTGTCAACCGGATATTGGTCCTCATCTCCTTCCTCCTTAATTAGACGGCGATGCTGGAACTTGGGAGAAGGCCGGGCGACGCCAATGGCCAAAGTCGGTAGTGGTAAGTCGTCGAGCTCGATCTTATGATCGACTCTCGTTGTCGGTTTCGTTCCGCTAATTCGCGCGAGGGACGAGTGGTCAGGGGTTGTCCAGCGGAACAAATGTCGAAGGTGGGTGGGCAATTCTAAAGCACAAACTATTACGTCCGTAACAGTAGGCAGTTGAGACGGGGCATCAAGGGAAAGCGCAGCCTGAGCTTTCACGGAAGTTACGATCAATCAACCCGTCTAATTCATCGCAAGGAGTGTCAATGGGATGATCAACGTACCGGTGAAACACAACTCTCTTGCTCGATGCTTAATCCGCGATAAATGGGCCTTGCGACCTCACTAACGTTAGTTATGTAATAATGCAGCGGTACCGAGCCCGTGGCCATGGGTCTGTCGAGGTCCGTTGTGGACCCCCGAGAAAACCATAAAACATTGAATTTGCAAATGCAATCAGCAAGGCTAGGTCTGTTCGAGGCAAAGAGTGCAGGGGCGTCTTTCGGGAGGATGCTCCCGAAACCCCCGGGCCTCAGTGAGTGGACGGATGAATTGACGAAATCAGCATCCTGGTAGATATTCTCAAAGATTATCACTGGCCCGGATTCTTCGGAAACTCGCCGGAAGATTGATTTGAACAGGAGACTGCAGGAGATACCGTTAAGCGGCAAGCATTAGATGCAATGGCAAAGGGGGAAAGCGCTCATGAAATCGTCTGATTCCTTGGATGGGAAACCACGCGGCAGGTACGACCTCCACCTTAGGCCGCCTGCGGAGAACCCACACCCCCCTATCTTGCGCAGCGGGGTCTTTCCCCGGAGCATGGAGGTCATTGGCGTGAGCGTGGATTCTTTGGACGAAAATGCCAGAACCGGTGCAATTTGGCAATTTGAGGTGTCATATTTCCGAACAGACGACGACGTGCCTGCCTCCACAGTCGGGGCCGAAGAGGGGTTGCCCAACTCAAACACGTTAACCAAGGCTTTACGCATGGAATAACGTAGCCCGATACTAGCAGCAGACTGATCATTGTGTTATACATATGCTTTCATCGTCTCTCACACAGGGCAATTACATACCTGTGAGCCGATGCAGACATACGGTTAATGGGATTGTCAACGGAGGGGATGATTACGAGTTATTTGCAGAGTTGTACATATACTGCCTGTATGTGTGTTAAACCTTTAGGGATGCGTAATCCTCCTTTCTCCTCTCAGCAACCGCCCATTCCAAGGACCAAGGACAGTGGTATCATGTGAAAAAAAGACACGCGCCACCCAACCATATACACTTCCCATAAACAACCCTAACCAAATCCCTTCCCCTTATCCAAGTAAGCCCTCTCTAATACCCCTCCGGCTTTTGCCCATAGACAATATGCAGCGGCATATATGCCAGCATCCCATTATCCTGATACGCCCTGCGCACCTGTGTCAGGAACAACTCCACCTGCGCCTGCGTCCATCCACAGCCGCGGGTCAGCGGGCCCAGCGCAATGGCCTGCATGCCGTCGACGAGGATAGTGCGCCAGTACAGGCCAACGGTCTTGAGCACCTTGTTCTTGGGCCACGTACCGAGCGGGATCTGCAGGACGCGCTCGGTGACGTTGACGAAGCCGACGTCGCGCATCATGGCCGCTAGCTGTCCGTTGGCGGCCCCGTGGAAGTTGGTGATACCGAGGTTGGTGAGGCCTTCGTTGATCAGCGTCCAGTATTGGACTACTGGATGGTCGGGCGGAAGCGGCCGGGTGCGTGAGGCTGAGAGGGGGAAGTGGAAGACTTCTTGCATTTCGAACCAGCCGCCGGGTCGGAGGTGTCTGTAAGTGAGTTTAGTGAGGAGCCGGTCTGGAAAGGCCGTGAAGCGTGGGTGGATTCGAGTGGTCCTTACTCTAAACATCTACGCATCAATCTGGGCCAGTCTTTGATCCCCATAATGGTATGTCGGGAGTGGACGTAATCGAAGTAATTGCGTGGGTGAAGCCATCTAGCAGTGTCATGTTAGTATGCGGACAACAATGGTCGGCTCTGAAAAGGGGAAACATACGGGCTCCTAGCACGAGGTTAGCAATCGTAAACTTGCACTTTCGGAAGCGTCGAAGACTTACTCTATATCATCCACCATAAACCGCACATTCGGTGGCACCCACTCGGGTTGGATCGGACTTAGGTCGACTCCCAACACGTTTGCGGCCGAGAACACGTCCCCCACTGCATAAACAATTAGTCAAACCCCACAAGCGGATTTCATAATCATGCACCACATACTCTCAATAGCCCAGATTCCCGTCCCCGTTCCAATGTCAAGAATCTCATTGGGATGATCCCCGATCGGCGCAAAGTGAAGCTGTCCGCAAAGCATCTTGACCATGGCGTGCTTCATATCTTCACGTTGTTGCCTACGACGAAGGTCAGCTCTATCAACTCAACACCACATATGGATACCACAAAAAACAGCGGGGTTACGTACTCAACGTCGTCATTGGGAAAGTTATACCTCCCTTCCCGAAACCGATGATATCGCCGCCCATTCTCAAAAATGTAATCCCGCACGCTCTCCGCAAGCGAGGTTGACGCCGTCGTGTTGCCGTCCGATCCGTAGCCATCATCGGTAGCCAGGTCATCGCTGTCCACAACGATACTGCCATCCTCTGCCTGTGCGACGGCTGCCTCTTCCTCTTGCTGTTCATCATATTCGGCCACCCCCTCCTCTTCCGCATCTCCCGACCCGCCGTGCTCGGGGTTGGACGTTTGCTGCTGTTCTTGAGCGCGGGGGTTCGTGAACATGTAAGGCGGGGATAGACTCCCGCGTGGTCCTTCGGGCACGCCTGGGACTGGCACGGATGCGGAATGCGGTTCAGAGTAGGCGCTATCCGTGTGGGAGAAGAAAGATGCGCCGTCGTCGGCGACTGCGGACGGGCGTCTTAGAACCGAGGAATTAGGCTCTAGTTGCGCATCACGGTGGTCGTTGAGTCCCTTCTTTGCGCCCGCTGGCGCCGCTTGGTCCGCAACAAACTTGGCCTCGGCTGGTTTGGGAGGTGGGAAGCGACTTTGCGCTGTCTCTTCTATTGGAGAAGAACCGCTTGTCTCGGCACGACTCCGCTTCTTCGAGTTGACGGCGGCGCTCGGTGCCAGTGGTGACACCGGTTCGTCTGAGTATGGTTCCATCATGTGCTGTTTGGAGTCTCACTTTTCAGAGTCGCGAGAAAGGAACCGGACCCGGGTGGCCAAATAATCGGCCAGAAAAATCGGCGTCGATGGCTACACCGTTCCAATGCGACAGCCCTGGTCCAGCCGCAAAATTCCGATTGCCGACTCGCCCTGAGCCAATGGCTGGCATCAAGGTCAACCTCGTTGGATGACAACCATGCAGGTTGCCCAACAACGTTTATTGAGAACAAGTGGTCCCGGATCCGACGTCGTGAGGGACGGGCGAAGACTACTGTTCTACTAGTCGAAAGGGTCCGCTGGAATTGATAACGGGCCGAAACCGTCAAGAGAGTTGCCGAAGTACGGTGAGAGCTAGCTCGCGGTAGTATGTCTCAAGTCTGCCGATGGTTCGGCGGTCATCACAAGGTTCGATGACAAGATGTCGTCCAGTCGGCCGTCCCGGAGTTTATGTTGAAAAGAAGAAACAAGTCGCAGCGGAGTGAGATCCGGTCACTGGAGGGGCCACCAAATGCAAGCCACATCGTCCCTCGGTCTGAGCGAACCGGCCGATCAATGATAACGCAATGGAGCACACAGCGCTCCGGCAGGCCGACAGGTTGCTTCACTAGCCAAGTGTAGTGTAATTGGAATGCATCGTGGCTCCGGCGAATAGCGTGATGACAAACCCTTCCATCAATGGATTGCTAGCGGCCCTTAGGTGGGGTGAATTGCTCTCAGTGGTGAGTTCCCCATTTGCTCCGGCGCGAGCCGAGCGGGTTTGCAGATTTTCAGGGGAGGGGGGTTCGACTCAAGTCTCTCGAGGGCCGTGAGGTCGCAACGGCTCCGGCCCCCAACCGCCTCAATTCGACCGACGGCTGCATGCCGACGTCAACGTGCCGCCCTTTCCCCGCCCTTTTCCACACCCAAGGTGAATTAGTAGAGCTCAAGGAATGACTACATCTAGAATATCCAAGTACCGAAACGGCCTCAATTACCACTGCAGGTAGTAAATCATCGAGTATTTCGTACGGGGGGGGGCGTGGCTGACGATGAATAGCGCGGAAGAGGTCCGACCTCCTAGTCGGCGGCGATCTCTCACGCCGGTCGCTAGATGTTCGATGCTTTGCAGGGCTCCCCCTCTCTTGTTTAACCCCCTGCGACTGTGACGAAATTGCCCTAGCTCAAGCCTGGATTCCCCAGCGATAACTCCTGGCAATGTCCGAACGGGTTACATTTCCAAAATCAGGGCAGACCTGCCACAGCATGGGGGTGTCCTGTCCTTCATCAGTCGGAATGGCTACGAACAGTCGAGTGTTTGATCCCAAAAGCGACGCCGGCTTTTAGCCGACGGCAAAGCCCAGCTGCCAAAACACCGAACCACGAGGGCCGACAGCGCAGCGCTGCATGGAATGGGAAGCGCACTGTCCAGCCTGCAGGGAAGCCCGGGCCGTGACCAACGCACCTCATTCAATGAGCAACAAACAAGCGGCGACGACGAGAAATTATTGGACCTTCCATATCAGTGTCATAATTGAGGACCTAGATTACTATGAAGAATATTTAAGGGTTCCTCTCCTCAACACAAGTATCTGATCAAATGCAAACTCAACCTCGTTAGCCACCGCGTTCTACTATCATTTTCAGGACAGTTCCTGCCAGGGCGAAATTAACATCATGGGACTACAAACGATATCGAGAGGCTCCTTGCAATTAAGAGCTAAACCTTTTTTCTTTTGCTATTAACAAACAACACCCCCTTTTCTAACTTGCGCTGACACCCTAACTATTAGTAGGTAGCCGAGCATTTCTCTCCAGTGTCAGGAAATCAACATTTGAGGAAGTCTAACACACCGTTAGGGGTGTTAGGATTCAATGCTACATAGAGTATGCGACAGCGCCGCCGCTAGACTCTGAAATATGTCGATATGCTACGAATTTTCGGTTTGCCTATCCTGTCAAGCTCTTTCCTGTGTTTTAAAATGCATCTCCGCAATGGGAATATTCGTAGCATTTTCGAGCGCCTGTGTCTCCTGTCAGCCAACCACATCCGCTTGGCTTGGTTCGCTTATGTACTGCCCACATGCGGACTGCGTACCAAAGAGGGACACGTCCATCGAGGAAGGCTGGGGCACGTCAGGCTGGTCACACCTGGACCCAAAATGCATTGGTAGAGATGCCTAGTGGGGGGTCTTGGAACACTACTACCTTGATCCAACTTGGTATTTGACATGAGGAGAAAAACAAACAAAAGTCATTGAAGCTCTCGTGGCTCTTTCGTCCTGACCCCACTTTCGAATGGAATCGTGAACGGTCGCCCGTCGCCGGGATCATCGCGTCTTCGCCCAAGCCCGGCCAGACATGTCTGTGCACCGGCTCGGCTTCACAGAGCTTTCCGGGAGTCAAGGCACAAAGGACGGGACATATCGAGTCAAGTAAGTCTACAATGCGCTCCGAAGTAAGTGGCTTTAGCTGACACAGGGCAGCATCATTTTCGTGCATGGCCTAGGAGGGCATCCTCAACACACATGGGAGGACAGCAGGAGCAAGAACAGGGAGAGCGTCAATGGGGGCAATCATAGTGAAGCGGGGACAAGTAAACGGAAGCTCTTCAAACGCCTCTTCAAGTCCAAAGCATTGCCCTCGGCCCCGAGTTCGACGACTGTCTCAAGTTCAATTTCGACATCGGGTTCAGCCAAAGACTCAGGTTTAACCTCAACATCGAGTTCGATCACGGCCTGGAGCTCGACCACAACACCCACCTCGGTTACGGCCTCAGTCGCCAACAACGATACCGGCAAAGAGTACACCAAAAAGCTATTCTGGCCAAGAGAATATCTTACAGAGGACATCCCCGAGGCCAGAGTGTGGACATACGGCTACAATGCGGATGCCGTCGGGGGTGTGTTCCAAGCGAACAACAAGAACAGCGTATCTCAGCATGCCCGAGACTTTGCAGTGCGCGTTGAGCGAGACATACGAAATGAGGTACGTACACTCAGGAATCTCAGGAAAGATGCCGGTGGAAGGCATGTGCTAACCATACATACTAGGACCCAATCTTATTCGTCGCGCATAGTCTCGGCGGCATCATTGTGAAAGATGTAAGTACGTCTAGACCGCCTGACTTAGAAGCTGACGCTAATGATAAGTAAACAGGCAGTACGTCGGTCAGATGTGTGCCGTGCGCGAACTAAACTCATCATCTTCCTGGGTACGCCTCACCGTGGAAGTGGACTTGCAGGATGGGGCAAGATCGCATGGAACCTAGCTTCGATAACACTACAGGATTCGAACACAAGAATCATCAAGACACTGGATGTGAATAGCGAGGTCTTGGAAAACATCCACGAGGATTTCAAGACGATTGTGAGCCAGTCTCAGATTTGGATTCACTCGTTTCAGGAAGGACGGGGAATTTTGGGTATCAAAGGTTTGCACAATAAGGTACGTTTCTAACGGATGAGGAGTCTCTGAAGCTTCATCGCTCTTCATGTTCTTACTGTAAGATCACGACAGGTGGTGGATGATTTCTCCTCGAAACTCGATCTTCCGCGGCCCCTCGAAACGGTCGAGACCATCGATGCGGACCACAGGCAGATGGCCAGGTGTGCCGACAGGTCGGATGCACAGTACCGGGCTATCTTTGGGGTTCTCGAGCATTTCATTCGTACGAAGCTCAAGGAAGCAGCGTTGACGACTTCCGTGGCTGTAATTAATACTGCAGAAACGGAAGGCGCAATTGAGGAGACAACAAAAGGTAAAAGAAGCAAAGCCTCATCCCTCTTACCAACATTCGATTCGCTGACTTTACTGTAGACCGTGCGGCCCTTCCCTGCTATTACATTCCACTCCCTGAGAACCGGCGCTTTGTCGGACGTGAGAAGGCGCTGGACGCTCTCAAGGCAACGTTTTTTGTGCAAAAGGAGTGTCAGAAAGCCAGTATTGTCGGCCTAGGGGGTGTCGGCAAGACGCAGGTTGCGCTTCAGTTGGCATACTGGACAAAAAAGAACCAACCCGATTTCTCCATCTTCTGGGTGCCTGCGTTGAGCATGGCCAGTTTCGAACAGGCCATGACCGCAATAGCGAAAAAGCTCCCTATCCAGGAAACTGGCGAGGATGAGGACCCCAAGGAATCCGTGCAGCGATTTCTAAGCTCTGAGGCAGCGGGGCCATGGCTCCTTGTGGTGGACAACGCGGACGACGAAGAGATCATCTTTGGCTCTGCAGACCGGCCGGGCGGTATCAGCGACTATCTTCCCGAAAGTGACACCGGACTTACTTTGTTCACGACACGGTTTCAGGAGGTGGCTGTATCGGCCACCGGGAGTGATGTGGTCGAACTGAACGAGATGGAGCACGCGGAGGCGGTTGATTTCCTAGAAAAGTCACTGATACACAAGAGCCTGCTTCGTGACGAAACGGCGACTACAGAACTCCTGAAGGAGCTCACATACCTACCCCTGGCGATCACACAAGCCGCAGCTTACATCAACAAGAAGAAGATACCCCTGACGGAGTACATCGGCCTACTACACAGCACGCAGCAGGATATCATTGGCCTTATGAGCAAGGAATTCCGAGACAGCACCCGATATCCTGGGTCTCAGAACGCCGTTGCAACAACGTGGCTCGTATCATTCGATCAGATCCGAAAATCTGATAGCGCAGCCGCCGACCTGCTCTCATTTATATCTCGCATCGAGCCCAAGGGAATACCCCAATCCCTGCTACCCGATCTTGACTCGGCCGAAAAGTTTGTGGATGCCATCGGGACGTTGTGCGCATACGCCTTTCTCACTAGAAGAGGTGAAAGCAAAGTGTTCGACATGCATAGTCTCGTCCACCTAGCGACGCAAATCTGGGTTCAGCGAGAAGGCCTAGCGGAAATAGCAGACGAAGATGCGACTTGGCAACTTGCCACGATTTTCCCGACTCCTGACTATGAAAACCGTGCTATATGGAGAGATTATCTCCCGCATGCTCTCAAGCTATTGCAGCACAGTGAAGACTTCGATTCGGAGGACAGGTCTGATTTGTTACTGGCGGTTGGACAGTGCCTGCTTGTGGATGGCCGGATTACTGAAGCTGTCCGGAGTCTAGAAGAGGCTTGTCGGTGGCCAAACCGAACGCTCGCTCCTGATCACCCCAACCGGCTCGGAGCGCAGCGCATGCTCGGGAAAGCTTATGAAGCGAATTGTCAGTCTCAAAAGGCCATAGAGGTACTCGAACAGGTCGTCTCCATTGAGGCACAAACTCTCGCCGATGACGACCCCGACCGGCTCGTGTCGCAGCATATCCTAGCGGGAGCGTATCAAGGCGACGGCCAGACCAAAAAGGCCATCATGCTCCTGAAGCACATTCATTCCATTCAGGCCAAAACCCTCGCCCCCAATCACCCCGACCGACTCCGGTCACAGCACACGCTCGGGGTGGTCTACAACACCAACGGCCAATTTGCCGAGGCCATTGCAGTGCTCGAGCCAATCGTTGCTACCAAGGCCCAAATCTTTGCCGAAGACCACCCCACACATCTCGCATCACTGCGCGCGCTTGCAATAGCCTACAGGAATAATGGCCAAGTCAAAAAGGCTATTCAACTCCTCGAGCAGGTCGTCGCCATTGAGGCGCGGGTTCTTCCAGACGACCATCACTCACGGCTCACTTCACAACACGGGCTTGCTAAAGCCTACCAAGCTAACGGACAGATCAAAGAGGCTGTGGCGCTACTTGAGCACGTTGTTACTGTCCGTAAGCAGTGCCTTGCCAATGACCACCTTTCGTTGCTTTCATCGCAACATGAGCTTGCTCTGGCCTATAAAGCCAATGGACAGGTGAAAGAGGCTGTAGTATTGCTTGAACAACTTGTCGCAATTCAAAGCCAAGTCCTTCCCGACCTCCACCCTAATCGGCTCGCATGGCAGCACACACTCGCATTAGCTTACAACGAAAATGGCCAGGCTAAACAAGCTATAGCGCTGCTAGAGCGGATCGTGGCATTGCGCAACCAGGGCCTACCCGAAGATCTCCCCGCAGTTCTTGAGTCGCAGGAATTGCTGGCCTTCCTATACACATACGGGGGAAACGAGCGCGTCGAAGAGGCCGTGATACTGCTTGAGGATGTTGTTACAATCAAGACTCGAGTGCTTCCTGACAATCATCCTTCCCTACTATCGTCCCAGCAGGCCCTTGCAATTACTTACGAATCCAATGGACAACTCGACGAGGGCGTGGCGTTGCTTGAGCGGGTGGTTTCCACGAAAGCTCAAATCCTTCCCGAGGATCACCCTTCACTCCTTGCGTCGCAGGACTGGTTGGACGGCATGTTAGAATCTATGGAGCAAAACAACAGTTAGTAGTGGTATTTGTGGATTCTTGTTGGCTCTGAGAGCTGTCAGCTTGTTTTGGAATACAGCGCCGTGTAACGTATAATCCTTTCCTGAATGAGCGGTAGCGGCCCATGGAACAATATAGCTTCATCGACACTTTTCGACGGATGACCTCATGAATGTTTTATTCGATGTAAAGATGAAATAGAAGGCCAAGAACAGTTGTTCGAGCAGAAAAGTGGAACCGAAAATCACCACGAGCACCAAGCCACATGTGGCTGTGATTTATTCTAGGTGGGGCAATCGCTGGGCTTGGGCCTCAGCCCTCCATTCACCCATGTTGCGAGCAACAGGCAGACCAAACTGACGTGGGCCTGGAGCTCTGGATCTGGAAGCGGGACACCACCAACAACAGCCAAGCGTACGAAGTGCAACACCGCGAACAATCACGAAGATCAACAACGAAGCGAGCGCCTCTTCTACCCATTAACCCAGTGCTTCGTTGCGACTGACCCGAAATTCGAGCGCATTCCGAAATTAACCTCGTAGCCCGCCAACAGTCCCCGCATCGCACTCGCGCCATGGCGGACCCGGCATTCAAGCCCGAGAGGGACTTCACCAAAGAGGCCGACACCCAGATTCCCGAGGCCGAGAAGCTGGCAAAGGTACGGGCGAATATTTGAGGCTGTTTGATGATGAAGGCCGTTTACTTTGCTAACGTCGTTCTGTAGACAGACATTCAAGCCGCCATCGAGAAGCTCTCCATACTCGAAAAGCAAACCCGCCAGGTAACCAAGAGCCCACCTGCGACCCTTCCCTTGGGACCCCATCCTCGGAGCCGCTCCTAACTAGATTCTCGAATAGGCATCCGACCTCGCATCCACATCACGAATCCTCATCAGCATCGTCACAATCTGCAAAAATGCGGGCGATTGGAGCCTTCTCAGCGACCAGACCCTGGTGCTTTCCAAGAAGCATGGTCAACTCAAACAGGCCATCACGAAGATGGTCCAGACCGTTATGGGCTTCCTCGACCAGACACCGAACTTGGAAACCAAGCTCTCCGTTATCGAGACGTTGCGAACGGTCACCGAGGGCAAGATCTTTGTCGAAGTTGAGCGGGCTCGCGTGACCAAGATCCTTTCCGACATCAAGAAGAAGAAGGGCGATTTGAAGGGGGCCGCCGACACGCTGTGCGAGCTTCAAGTTGAGACGTTTGGGTCGATGGACAGGCGGGAGAAGGTCGAGTTCATTCTGGCACAGGTTGCGCTCTGCATTGAAGTCGGGGATTGGACACAGGCCGGCATCCTCAGCCGCAAGATCAGCACCCGATACCTCGCCCGGAAACCTAAGAAGACACCAGAGCAGCTCGAGAAGGAGAAGAAGGAGCGCGAGAAGAAAGGCAAAACCGAGGAGGAGCCTGAGAAGGAAGACGACGTCACAGATCTGAAGCTGCGCTACTACAGACAACAGATTCAACTGGCCCAGCACGATGGCAAGTACCTCGATGTGTGCAAGCACTACCGGCAAGTACTGGACACCGAGTCTGTCGAGGAAGACCCTCAAAGGCTCCGCTTTGTAAGTGTTAACGGTTAAACCAAGAGCCGCCCCAACTTGACCACAACATGTTGCTAACTACCTTCTCCAAACAGGTCCTGCAGCGAGTCATCTACTTCATCATTCTAGCCCCACACGACAACGAGCAACACGATCTGCTTCATAGGATCCATAAAGACACACGGAACTCTGTGGTCTCCCAGGACGCCGAGCTTCTGAAGCTCTTCACCGTTCACGAGCTTATGCGGTGGCCCGAAGTCGCGAGAGTGTTCGGCCCGCACTTGACCGACACAGAGATCTTCGACGAGGACGAAGGCGATTCAGACGACGAGAAGGCCCACGAGCGGTGGCAGGACTTGCGCAAGCGCGTCATCGAGCACAACGTGCGTGTGGTCGCCAAGTACTACACGCGCATCCAGATGGGCCGTCTAACGCAGTTGTTGGACCTGACTGAGGACGAGACGGAGAAGTACATCAGCGAGCTGGTCACGGCCAAGACAGTCTACGCCAAGATCGACCGTCCCGCACGCATCGTCAGCTTCGCCAAGCCACGCGACGCCGACGACATTCTCAATGAGTGGAGTTTCAATATGAAGAGCCTACTCGGCCTGCTCGAGCGCATCGACCATCTTATCACGAAGGAGGAGATGATGGCGCGCATTCAGCCTGGGGTGACCAAGACCAAGAAGGGTAAAGACGGCAAGGGCAGGGATGCCAAGCGGGCCGTCAAGGGATAAACGGGATGGAATGGTTGATGGACATCCAGACCAACGTCGGCACAGTAGACAAACCCGTTGGTGTATGAATACACATGATTCGGGACACGATCTAGGGTGCAAGTTCGGTTTCCCCGAGCGAAGATTTCTCGAGGCGAAACGGTAATAAAAGTTAGACCTTAGGGAAATACCAAGTCGCACGATGATGTGTTTCCTATTTGTTTACTCCGTACTTGCTTAAATCACCTCTGCAAAACCACACTTCCTTCCCCCAGGGCGACTACTCAACTCTACCTCTTCTTTCCTCCCTTCCCCTTTCCCCCCTTTTGCCCTCCTCCCGCGGCGCCTCCTCCTTTGGCCCCCCCTTTCCCACCACCCCCCCCACTACCACTGCCTGCTAGTCCTCCCGACATCATCACCGTCACCTTGCCCACCGGCACCACATTGAACGACTCCTCCACCTTCAACCCCTTGATCAACGCCACCTCCCTCGGCCACATCTTTTCCCCGTCCTCGGACTTCTCATCCACCACCCCTTTCTTCCCACTTGCTAACTTCCATCGCTCCACAATCTCCTTCACCGCTTTTCCCTTCTTGATATGCCCCGGTTGGATCTTGGCCTTGTACTTGATCCGGCCCAGGGCGCCCCACGGCGCGCACACGGGAATAACCTCGAGGATCTCGTCGCCCGGTAAGGGCGTGCCGACCAGCGCCCCGAGCGGGCCAAGCTCGGCCGCCGCATCGGCCAAGGCCGTGATATCATCCTCGCCGTCGCCATACTTGTCGAATAGGAGGCGCTGGCGCGCCTGCTCGTGTTCGGCAACTTGCTTGCGGGCGCGCTCCTGGGCTTTCTCACGGCGCGCCCGGGCGGCGGCGGCTTCGGCTTCGCGCTGGGCTTTGGCGGCCGCCTCGGCTTCGGCCTTTTGTCGCCCTGCAGCAACACCGAGGAGCTCTTCCATGAGGGCCCGGTCTTCGTCGTCTTGGTGGCGGTATTTGGCCGCGATCTTTTTGGCTTTGCCGCGCTGGCCGCGCTTGGCGGGATGGTGTTTCTTTTGCGATTGCGAAGTGGTGGAGGTGGAGGGGGTGTCGGGGCGAGTAGATATGGATTGCTCTTCTTCGTCTTCCTGCTCTTCTTCGCCTGCGTCTTCTCCTGCTTCTTCCTCAGGCTCGGCCTCGCCCTGGGCATCCGGGTGAGGGCCTTGTCCAACATGGTCGTCTTTCTCGACAACTTGGAGGTCCGCTAACGCCTCAGCCGGCGGCTCGGAATCTTGTCCCTGAACAGACTCATCGTCGTCGGCCGTGCCTGACTGCAATGGATTCGATTTTTCACTCTCGTCCTCACTTTCCTCTCCTTCACTCTCGCTCAGGGCATTCTCTTTACTAGGAGGCTCGTCAGTCTCGGCCTCGAGGCTGCCACTTGCCGATGCCGCAACAGGTGCCGTGATGTCTCCCACATCGTACAACCTATGCTTCGCATGTTTAACTTGGCTCTCCTCCGAGACTTTGAACATCAGGCCAAACCCTAGCGTCAACAACGCCGGAGGCAAAACATTACGCTTCCCGCGGACCATGAATGAACCCACGGGTAGGAATTCGCCAGTGGGTGCTGACTTGGAGACCTGGTCAGCGTTCACCCAATACGCGCCCATGGCTGCTTTCGAGTCCCATGCGTTCGAGCAGCACACTGCCAAATTGCCGGCCTGTGCAAGCGTTGACGGCGGAATGGGGGCGTCGGGAGTCTTCGGGTTATTCTTGATAATGACGGACGGTGCGCCGTGCATGTCTGCGTGAACATAAACATCTCCCTTCTTCAGGTACCGTTTGTAAAGGATCTCATTCTGCTGAGCATCTCGCCCGCCCAAAACAAGGTAGCCATCCGACGAGACGAACCAGATAAACTTCTCGAACCACATCTGCTTCCGAATGGGTTGCAGCACAGGCTTTTCCTGCTTGAGCCCTTTCTTGAGATCTTCGGTGATCTTTTGCTCGGCATTCCGAAGAGCAATCTCTGATTGTTGGACTGTCTTTTGTTCCTTGTCGGCAGCCGTGCGCTTCTGTTCATAGTATTCTCGAGCATTGTTCCACGGGGTAAGCTTGAGGTTGATATCGATGGCAAGCCGGTTTTCTGGGCCTTTGGGTTTCTCTGCTCCATCATCATCCACGGCCTCCTCGTCAGTGTCATAGTCAAAATCTTGTTCCTCGTCGGCTTCGACCTCGTCTTCCGCCTCGCCCAGTAGTAGTGTTATCACACTTTCGTGAAGCCTCAATGGGAGTTTGATAATCTCCGCAACTGGGTTGTGCTGCCTCTGCTCCCGCTCTACAAGTTTATTGACGTCCATCCAGTCCATACCCTGCTCCAGAAGGCCATTGACAGCATCCATGGCTTCCTGCACGCGTTCGATGTTGGCTTCGATGGCAGCAGCTTTGCGCAGATTCAGTGTTTGCGCCCCCTGAAGCCCTTCGATCCGCTGTGCCTGATCACGCCGTGCTGCCTCTAGCTTTCGCTTGGCAGTCATCTCTCGTTCCTGCAAGCGCGACTCGAGCTTCTGGCCTTCGAGAGAAGAGAAGAACTCATCTACTGTCCGGTTGTAGCCCTCAAAGCTCAGGACCTGATAACTCGAATCATCCTCAAACTGCTTCGGCAAAAAAGGCTGAAAGTCTTCGTACAAAAGTTTCCGAGGTTTGAGGTCTTGCCCCGTTTCATCCCCGCCCGCTGGCAAATCGGCGGCCCGCGGGTTGGGTTTTGCGATAATGTATCCCTTCACGGTAGGAGAACTTGTCACTTCGTTGAGAATCGAGCGGGCCTGCTCTAGTGACTGAAACAAAGCATCGAGCAAGGATTGGTCCCTTAATACTTCTGCCAGCTTGGTGGTAGAGTCGAACTTGGTCGTATGAAAGACATGGTCAACCAGGATCGGAGGTAGCTCTGTGAGTGTTGTGACAATTCCACGCCTCAACTCGTCTGTTCCCTTCTTTTTACTTTTACTGCCAGTAGCCTGCGCCGAGGCAGTCATGAGCGCATTTTGAAGACGCTCTTTCGTCAACGCGGGAACCCCCCCTACATTCTGCCGGTCTTTCAAGGAGTAATCTAGCCCAACCCGCTGCGGCTCCTGTCCCTTGCCTTCGGGAACAACCCGCAGCAGTGCGAGGATTTTGAGGGTGGCATCCGTCAGGATCACATTGCCGCCCGCGAAGAATTCAAGGTATAGCCGGTAAGCGCCATCGCTGAACTGAATCTCGATGATTCGATCGGTGCCAATCTGTGAGACGTTCGTGACGCGGCGTGTCTTGAGGAACTTGCGTAGGCGCGAGACGAAGGGGCTCGGAGCGGGGGCGGCAGCACGGGCAAAGTCGGTCAAGTGGCAGCGGAATCCAGACTCGATGAGGATTTGTTGTCGGTTGTTTGGTTTCGCAAACTTCAAGAGGAGGATCTTAGAGTTGAGGTCGTAGATGTTGGAAAGTCGCAAGGAGACAAGAGCTTCGGCGAGCTCGTGTGCGACGACCTGGAGCAAAGGTTTCACAACGGGTTAGCGTTGTGAATTAAGAAGCCGCTGAAATAGGGAATTACTTCAGTACCTTGACGTCTAAAGACGAGAATCTTTGTTTCATCCTGGCCTTGTTTATGTATTCCAAGGTTGACGGCCGATGCTGAGCAACTCGGGTGGTTGAAGATGCTGAGCTTCGAAGTCCATCTCATGGCGGGGCAAGGCTGGTCGTTCTCGGCGTCCGAAAAGGGCAAGCGGGGTCATTTACCGTTCGTCACAGATTGTTCGTACTCAAGTAGTTCGAGAGTCCCTTTCCTAGGGCCTTCACCGTCAAGCCTTTGCTGCTTCAGGCTAATAAATATTCTATTTTGTCATTCGATCACCAATGGGTTTCAAATTTTACAGTACAGCCCTAGTCTGTTAGATACTAGAAACACAGCCGTTAAGGGGAATACACGAGAAATAAGACGAAGCAAGACGAGACAACCGAATATTTTCAATCATTACAAACGAGTACAATAGAGAAACCCTCACCGTTCCAGCTGGCGCCCAGGGAGACCCTAGTAGCCCTACATCTCCCACATCTCAAGTCTGGACGGGACCGGATGTGGGAACTGAAAGGCCCGGAGGAACGTAATTCCGTATGCCGTCAATCACTCCCAACCGAGATAGAAGCAACCGATGGCAAAAGGGGGGGTGGGGGTGCGGTAGGACGTAAAGACCCAGCCTCTTGTCTCCCAGTTTGTCCGCGACCCAAAGCTCATACCTCACAACGAGGACGCCCTAATTCTATTCGTGCCGCAGACCTCGAGGAACGTCCGCAAAGAACGAAGCAGACGGATGGGGGTTGGGGTTAAAGGACAGAGGGCAGAGGGTAGCTGTGGGTGATTTTGACGTTCCATGTGCTAGTGAACCAGCCAGCAAACAAGCGAAGCAATACCTTGTTTTCCCTTCTGGCTGCGTTCGTCCAACTCCTTTGTCCAATCTGGTTTCTTGGCCTCCTCTCGCTTTAGCGCGCCAACAGTGAAATCCCTTTGCCTCACACTGCCCTTGTGCGCCCGAATCATCCCCCAGTATTTTCGATTTGGTTGGATTTGGTTGGATTTGCTTCGATTTCTTTCGTGTTTCAGCCATTACCGATGTTGTTGACCGATCCATCAACTCGTTGACAAGAAAAAAACAATGAAAAGCGCAAGAGAGGTATGGGAGAGAGAATGAGGGAATAAGAACGAGAGTGAGAAAGCGAGAAAACTGAGACAAAACGTGACAAAACAGGAGTTCGCAATCTGGTCTCGACCAACCCGGGCGAAACCTGCATCCTCTTGCTCTCCTATTCCGAAAAAAACACAACCGTATCGTTTCACTCCAGAGCGGCATTGGGGGAAAGGGCGGGCGCTACAACATCGGACCTATGCGAGGTAGGCCTCAGGGAGGATGGTCGTAGGCGCCGATCAAGTTCATCCCTTCTTGCTCTGCATCCCCAAAATTGCCTCAGACTGCGGTTCCCGGTACGGGTGCGGCTTCAACATCTCCGGAAGGGGGAACCGGGCGCTGACGTCTTCCCTTCAGACTCTTCATGCGGCCCAGGATCCCGCTTGCCTTTGGCTGAGAAGCATCATCACCAGTACTACCACCACCACTGCCGCCCGTGGCGTCCGTAGTCGACCGGCGCTCGAGGCCGGGCCCGCTTTGCGGGCTGGTCGGGGAGTGCTTACTGCCGTCCGTCTCCGTTCTACGGAGAGTGAAATCATCGTCGCCCTTGCTGTTACCTCCACCACCATACTCAGAGAAGAACGGGTTACGCTCCGAGAGTGAGGCTGACGCGGGCCCACTCTGTGTGGGAGATCGATACGAGCCATAGCCAGCTTCGGGGTTGGTGACGCGGCCTGAGGACTGGAATTCGCGGCCCCCACGGTTCATATTGCGGATTCTGTGGGCGAGCGACTTCTTGCGCTGGAGGCCATCACCCGTGCCCTCTGCCGCACGCTCCTCCTCACGCTTTTGAATCGCTGTTCGCGCGGCGGGAGTTCCCTCCAAAAACGTCGATGTACCAAGGCCGAGGGATTGGTCGCCATGAAGAACGTTTCCGCGACTAAACGGGTCAAAAACGGGTACCTCCTTGCTGGGTGGGACAGGGCCGTTCGGGTCATTTCGGCCTCGAGACCATTCCTTGAATGCCTCATCATCTTGATGCCCCATGAAGGCTGCGTGATCAGGACGGGCGTTCAACGGCCCAGCGCCTCCGAGGGTATTATTCAATGAGCCTTCGGGGAACGCCTGCATCGGCGCGCGCCGGCTGCCTTCCCTGTTGCGATGGCGATTGACAGCGTCGTACGGGCCGTCATGGTGGAAAACAACTTGCATGGTGTCAGTTCAGAGTATTTCTGTCTGGATGTACGCGGGAGACCATCAACTTACTCTTGTCCCCATAAATATTGAGGTCGGCCAGCTTGTCAAGCAAATCAAATTTGTCCTTCTGGTCAGGGTTCGCGCGGCGGCGGCGCTCGCGTTCTCGCCGCCTCCGTTCTCGCTGCTTCCGCTCTTCTTCAGTCGTGGTCTTGTCGACGTCTATCAAGGAAGAATCTGAGAGGCGGCGACGTGGTCCATCTGGGCGCCGTTGTGGCGAGCGAAGGGGTCCGTGTCGGTCACCACGATCGCCGCGCCCTTCTTTCTCTTCCTTTCTCCGGGCGCGAAGCGCCTCTTCTTGCGATCGAGTTGGGCGATGGTTCGGTGGGGGACCCCTCCTATCGGGAGGAGGACCACGGCCTTCACGATTCGGCGGCGGCGGACCACGGCGAGCACCACCGGGAGGCTGCCCGGTCGGCTTTGGGACGTCTACCAGCGATTCCTCTGCCTTTATCTCATCGAGTGTCAAGGAGCCCTGCGAGAGGAGTTGCAATCAGAAAATTGTGCTTGTTTTATCTCGATTGGTGTAGCAGCAGGGCAGGTGAATAGACACAATGGGGTCATGATGAGAGCGAAGGACATACAAAGATCTCCTCGGCTGTGAGGGAAGGCCTCTTCTCTAACGGCATGGTTTCCGGGGTGGAACGAATGTTGGAAAGGCTGGATCGGCTCGTCAGGGCAGGATCGAGGAATGGGTTGCGCGATAGAGGCCGTGGGGGCGGGTCATCGAAGGGAGAAGCCGGGCTAGTTGCGCCGACGGGCGAGGCGGCGTTGTTACGAAATGGGTTGTTTGAAGGAAGGTTCAGTGTCAACCCAGCCGATTTCTGACCTAAATGGGGGAGAGAATTCCCAGGGATAGTTAGCGATCCAATGTTCTAAGGTTGGACAGACTAGCGGGGAAGGAACGGATTTCGGTGTCCGGCAGTCTGCATGCGAATGACGACAGCGATAGGGAACATGAAACAGCAATCTCCTTAACATGACACGACAGGCGCTCTCTCAGAGCGAACCGGCGTACGTGCCCAGCCGCCAAAGCGGCAGCTTGGATGCGAAAACTGGGAAACAGGATGCAACCCGTCGAGCACGGCCGCCATGGATCCTATCGTTGCTCCCGCCACTGCTTGCGTGCCCCGCCACTGAAAGCCGCGTGCGCGCTCGGAGGATGGCCAAAGGGGCTTATAATGGGGCTCAATGGGCGAATGAATGGGTTGTATATTCTCACCTTGCTGATCGTCGGCCATGATTGATGGATGTATCTGCGGCAATGGCTAAAGAAAATGAAGAATGTGGTTTTGTTTGGGGGCAATTGTTCCCGTAGTGGTTGTGGAAAGGGGGTCCTAGGTCACCCAGCTTGGCTCCACCGAAACACTGGAAAGTCGGCAGATATCGGTCCCTTCCCTAGACCGTGGTGTCAAAATGTCTTGAGTCGAATTCGCTTGACAGGGGCTAGCATCATACCAGTGGAGATTCAGGAGTTTGGAGGTTTTCTTCCAGGGCCGCGGTTCGTTCCCGGTCGTGGGTCCGTCTCAACTGTGCCTTTTGCCGTCGCCTTCCCGCAGAGAAAAGGTTGGACGTGGCTCTCTGATCGCCAATATTAGCAGCAGAGCAATTGACGGAAGAAAGTCGATCGGTGCTGTGTCGCAAGGGTCTGAGGTCGGACGAACAATGGCGACACGTCTTGAGTCTTGCGCTTGGCTCCCGATTGTCTCGCAGCAGACCTTGATTTAAGGTTCGGGGCTGCCCACAAGGGTGAAACTGGGTTGTTGAGGATTTCTCCGGTGTTCGGTTTCGAATTGGGCTCTTAATTGATCTCCAATCGACAAGTTGTTCCTTCGTTTGCGTCGCTTGGCATCAAACCTCAACACACAATTCGTAGTTTGTATTTGCCAATCAGCTGGCTAGGATGTCGAATGGCCGTGGGCGTGGTTGAGGGGGATTGGAGAGGGCGAGTCGAGTGATTTCTGAGGCGCCTAGGGGGCGTTTTAGGGGTTTTATTCGGAATTGGGTGGGAGCGTCTGAAGAGGAGCCGACTCGGGGTGATCGGCGTCGAGCGTCGCGATGCAAGCCGAGGTGACAGCGCTAAAAAGCGATACTGGGGTAAGCGTTTGTCCGCCGTTTGCTCTGCAAGCGACTGGCTGCTCAGTTGATTTATTAAATTTCAGCGGCCGGACACAGAGGGGAACTGCGACCCGCAAGACAACAGCTCCGGCTTAAGGTTTGTTGGACCGTATGTGTCTCCCGTCAACTGATCGGGCTTCTCATGGATTTGGACTTGTGGGCCTGTGGGGTTTCGCCGGGAAGTGAGGTGACGGCGGTGTGTGTACATGCCACTGGGAGAGCCCAGCTTCACTGAGAGGGAGAAGTGCAATGGGGGTGAGTGGAAGTTGTGAGAATGGTTATGAGCAAACTAGGGACTAACCGGCAGTGCAGTTCCTAGATTACCTGTAGAAGGTAGTTGGTAGTTCCACGCCAAGCCGATAGTTAGTGTAGTTATGATTCGAGAATGAAACCACAGCTTTTGTCGTCCGCAAATATCCTTGGGCGAGTAATGCGCGGAGGGAAGAGTATGGTTACCCGTTGAAAAAGGGTAAAGAAAGAGGATCAATTTCAACATCATCATTCAAAAGTGGGCTTGATGGTCACCAGGGGGCCCCGAAAAGCCAAGCAAACACCATCCAGGTGGAGCGAAGCAGCGCCAAACCCGTTTGGGGACCACCTTCACGCTGGGCAAGCCACTGGTTGGTCGCCACTTCCTCAGTCCCGCTGCAGGGACCGATGTGTCCTTGAGAGATGGTTCCTCCCTTCTCCTATCAAGGTACAATACCAACAAGAAACAATTTCACCCCGTCATGAAGTTTTTCGGTGTTTCAACCCAGGTAGGGGCAATGACTGTCCCATGGGAGTCAACTTTGGGGCACGAGATGAATACCAGAAGGGGACTGGATGAGGGGATATGAGTTTAGGCAGGTGCCCCCTCCCGAGAAAGGTACCTACTAACTATGTTCTCTGAAGATGCTGCTGCAAGTAGTACTTTCTCTCACATCGCAGATCACTGGCATCCGCTGACCCCTATCAACGAGCCAATTTTCAACCGCGGCCTGCTGGCGACGCAGTACGGAGTATGGGTTGGGTTGATGCTCCGGGGGTGGACCGCTGACGGCGCGTTTTCCGGTTCCCGCCTTCGGGTCGATGAAGATCCTACGCTCACCTGGGCCCCTTTTGGTTGCATCGCGCAAACGCGCGCAGAGACCCCTCGGCGGCAGATCCGCCGGTTAAATTTGGGCCCTCCTCTTTTCTTTAGGAGAGGGGGGTAATCCTATGTGAGATGAGGGAATAGCATATTGGTATCGCAAGAGCTAGCCGCGAGCAATAAATGAGGCAGCACCTATCAGGGTATAGTTAATGTTTGTAGTTTGCATCTGACGTCGACTCAGTAGGTAACTTCTAATTACAGAGTAACGCGTGTGTGCCTGACGACTGTCTGTGTTGGCGCCGGAATTGGCATGGCCCCTGGTCGGGCTTCAACACCTGGGGCAGAAAGGGGGAAGGTCTGCGCTCAATCGCTCAGCCCCACCTTCCGGATACGGTCGGACTCAGCTCCCATCCTCATGGAAGGCTTCGTTGCAGCAACGAGGTTGTTCACTTGCCTCGTCTCCGACCTAAAAGGCGGGTCTCTGTAGTAATAATTCATTCGCCAAGCGGCAAGGATGACCTATATCCAACCTGTCTAGAGGAACTTAGAGGGGCAACTTGACACAGGATTTCCGGAGAATTAAGTCATCCAGGAAGCAGAAAGGAGCCCATCTCAGGTTTCGATCTGTACTGAATGTATTGGTTGGTCTAGGTATGATGACTTTTCATTCCTCCCGTCGTTGGATTATCTTCCGGCCGTCGACTATTTCTCGATTGCCAAGTGTGTGATATCAAATGTCTCGACCGGGTTTTACAGAAGTAGTTACTTCCAAGGTTCACCCTCACGCTACGGAGTCTTTCATCGTTGTCTCCAGGTTCCCCTCGCCCACTGAGACCAGGACTACTGGTAGGTGCGGCCCGGGGGCCGTACACTACCTAGCTTAAAATAGACCTCTTCAAGAGTAGGCTGTAGGGGAGGCACAACCCATTCGGCTGGTCTGTTTGTACTACGATAGTAGCGGGAATGTCGTTCAGCGAAGAGAGCAAAGTCGAACTAACAGGCTTGGCGGGACAGCAGCTCCTCTTCCCCTCTAAACATCGGCGGGTCACCTGAACCATACCCCAGCATAGCCCAACAACCTTCATCATCATACTAATAGGTACTAGTTAGGGCGAGCTGTTGTGAATTATGGGCACATGTTACACCAAACTTAAAATAAAGGCTGGTCGAAATGGAAAGGCTCCGGCAAGGCGATATGCAAAACAACTACTACCTAGTAAACCTAGGATGGGTCGGTCGGCGGTTCTCACCGATCAAAGGTGTTAACCCAAATCTGGTGTTGTGACGGTGTGACGCCTGCCCAGTGGCAGCGTCAACTCCGCCCCCCGCTGAGGCTGAGACGACGGCCCGGAGTCCAATGACGTGACGGGGTGGGCGGAATAGGCGCCCTAGTCGTCGAGGAGAATTACTATGTAGTTAATAACCGGGCGAGACGGAGTTGAGCCTAGGAATATCATGAAACTGTCGAGGTAAAGAATCAATAGGAAGGGACAGCGACAGAATGGTGCAATCTGCACGTTGGGCCTTGGCCGTATGCACAATCACGTTGCATTTGAGCAGATCTCTGTCGTGTTGGCGGTCAAACGTTAAAGCCGCTGGCATCGATGAGGTGTTAGGTTGTGCCGCGCCTGCATCACACCTGATGGGCAATGTTGGGCAACACCTTCAAGGACGGGAATCTTTCAAGTAAGATGGAACGGGGAAACTGGGGAAGGGCCGGCCGGTGACGATAGTTGAGACGAAAGGTTTGGGATACGAAAATCTCCAAAAATGATCTTTGCAGAAGTAAGAAGCTGCGGTGAATACTCAAAGTCCGGAGACGGTCAGCATCCGAGATGGAACCTCCCTATTTGAGAGGCGCTCGGTCACTGCTGTCGATTGTGGGGCGCGGCCCTTGGGCTCACCTCACCGCAGCAAATTCAACGAAGGGCGCATGGAACCTGCACTATGAGCGTCTTTGAGCGTGGCGTTCCGGGACTAGCGGCCGGATCAGATCACGGGGACCGGTTTGCCGCCGAACGCCCCTTTGTCGAGTTCCCATTCCTCATAGCCGCCCTCACCGGCCTCGTTTTCTTGCCCCTCTTCCTCGGTTTCCCTTTCCTCTCGCGATGTGCTCTAGTGCTTGCTCGCTTGGAGGCAATCTGTCCTGGGAACATCATTCATGCAATGGGCAGGATGGCGCCCTGCGGCGCAAGTCGGAGACTGACCAGAATTTGACACCAATGCCGTATTACACAGTGCGTACCTTCCACTCGCACATTCCCCAGAGCGCCCGCCCATTGATAGGTAGCTTCGATTTAAGCGCGCGGTGCTCTGGGCAGCGCTTATCAAATGTGCATGTCTCCGAGAGAAAACGGAACAGGAGACCTTTCCTCACCTTCCACCAGATGGGACTTACCTACCTTGGGTACAGTATTGACACCGGCATGATGTGCATCCTGTTGATAACGATCTCGCTTTCCTTCCTTTTTTTGCGGACTAGGCGGTTTGATCATTCATTCCAAAGTGCCCGCGTCGCCGGCTCCCTGTTTGCCCGTCGAGTCTTGGAGGGCGGGACGTTCGGCAGGTGCACAGGTACCTATTCCGCAGGTGGTTTTCGTCTGCGTGTCTGTCCGCAGTCAAGACACGCCCTTGAGTTTGGCAATCAATGACTTAGCCCCGTGACAACACGAGAGACAGCCGGAAACGTGTGCCCGCAAAATCCCATGTTTCCCCCACCGGCATGCCCTGACCGTAATTGTCTGCAGGGTTGGCCACATTGCAAAAACCGCTTCGAGATGGTGCGCTGGCACAGCCGGTCTGGGTCGGGGGCCACTGAAGAGGGGCTGGTCGCTGAACCTGTGTTGGGACGGGAGCGCAGGTCAAAGGGCCGGCCAGCACCTATCGCAGGAATTAGGCACCTTCCTGGAGCAGGGGGCTGCTCCAGCTGGTCGCCTGGTTCCGGTTCGCACTGTGCACCCAGCGCCCTGTTGGCGCGAGCGCACTGTGGAGCGGTTTCCTTGGCCATGATGGCTCGCGCTCCCCCGGCCCATTCTGCCTCTGCCCAGCCCGACACCTCAAAGTCAGGCTGGCAGCCCAAGCAAGTCTTGGATCTTCTCACCAGTCTCCCTCCCTCTCCTGCTTTTCCCTCCTCCAACCCGCCAGCGTTCTCCGCCTCCTCCTCCCACCACAAGGGTAAATCAGCTTTATTTTGAGGGTAAAGCCGGGATCCGCGAATAAACCCCCGGTTGCACATTTGGATTCTCGTCTAATCTTTGCTGCTGTAGGCTGCCCGCTCTTTCCTGTAGTGGGAATCCCCTTTCTCATTGCCACCATTTCAACCGGCATTAGAAATCCTCTCCCGCACCGACAACCTTCCTCCCCATCACCATCTTCCGATTCACCTGCAGCCGCGTCCGCCGCTGCGACCGTATCGAAACATCAAATTCTAGAGGTAAGCACATCGAAATCTATTTACCCTCATTTCGGCCAAGGTTCCATCGTTTTCACTCGGGTTTCCCGATAAACGGGCCGGACTCGAAGCAGCGCGGGTCTTTTCGAGAGGCAAATGGGAGCCCCCTTCTTTTCGCCGCCTTTAGCTGTGGCGTGCCGCCTAACCATCGTTTGGCATTTGACACCACGACGCCGACTTGAAAAATAAAAATCGCCGGCTTCCTTTTTTTCCCTTGAAACCACATCACCCCCGCACATTCTCTTACGACGGGACTAACCCCATTTTTCTTTTCAGCGTTCTACTGCTCGCCACCAGGCCACACAACGAAACACGATCAACGAAGTCGCGCAACCCGGCCTTCAAAATGACGACGATGGTACGAACACCCCACCCGCGCGAATAATATGTTCATGGACGGCATCGCCGATTCTTGGCTCTTGTTGTTTGCTTTCTTTTCTTTGCTCGCTTCATTTTTGTTTCCCCTCGCTGTCCTCGTATGGTGGTTGTGGGAGGCGGTGAAGCACCGAGTTTTTTTTGTTTTTTTTTGCTTGCCTGAAACCATTACCTAGATTGATTTACTAACAAGCGATAGGACCTTCGCGTTGGTAATAAGTACCGGATCGGTCGCAAGATCGGTTCTGGGTCGTTCGGTGATATCTACCTGGGCACCAACATTATTTCCGGAGAGGAGATTGCCATCAAGCTCGAAAGCGTCAAGGCCAAGCACCCTCAGCTTGAATATGAGGCCCGCGTCTACAAGTCGCTCGCGGGCGGTGTCGGCATTCCGTTCGTCCGCTGGTTTGGTACGGAGTGCGACTACAACGCCATGGTCCTCGATCTGTTGGGCCCCAGCCTGGAGGACTTATTCAACTTCTGCAACCGCAAGTTCTCGCTCAAGACGGTCCTACTCCTTGCTGACCAGTTGATTTCCCGCATCGAGTACATCCACGCCAAGTCATTCATTCACCGTGACATCAAGCCCGACAACTTCCTCATGGGCATTGGCAAGCGTGGCAACCAAGTCAACGTTATTGACTTTGGGCTTGCGAAGAAGTACCGCGATCCCAAGACGCACTTCCACATTCCGTACAGAGAGAACAAGAACCTGACGGGCACCGCCCGCTACGCCTCCATCAACACCCACTTGGGTGTTGAGCAGTCTCGTCGTGACGATATGGAGTCTCTCGGCTACGTCATGCTTTACTTCTGCCGTGGGTCCCTCCCGTGGCAGGGGCTTAAGGCGGCTACCAAGAAGCAGAAGTACGACCGCATCATGGAGAAGAAGATGACTACTCCCACCGACGTGCTCTGCCGCGGCTTCCCCAACGAGTTTGCCATCTACCTCAACTACACCCGGTCGCTCCGCTTCGACGACAAGCCCGACTACAGCTACTTGCGCAAGATCTTCCGTGACCTGTTCGTCCGCGAGGGATTCCAGTACGACTATGTGTTCGACTGGACTGTCTACAAGTACCAGAAGAACGCCCAGGCGATTCAGCAGGCCGCTGGCAACCCTGCGAACCAGGCCGCTCAGGGCGACCCTAAGGATGCCCAGCAGGCCGCTGCCCGTAAGGACGCCCAACAGGCTCTCCCTCGTGGCACCCGGAACAAGATCGCCGGCGAGACCCCCGAGACCAACCGCGCCGTCGGCGGAAGCGACAGGATGTGAGTGACTTACCAAGCCTTAGCCCAAAAGCATTCCTAGTAAGGAATCATATTTCCTTCGTGTTTGATGTGCTCATCAACGCTGGCCGGAGGGACAATGCTGACTTGGAGTGCTGACAATCAGTTTGCGATAATAGGCTGCGCTCGGCTGCAAAGGCCCAGGGCGCTGGCTCCGGATACGCTTCCAACAAGTACCGGCCTATGGACTGAGGCACTAAACGGCAATCGGATTGACGTCTATTTTCAAGCTGTATGAGTATGTTTCACATCGACTGGCAGGACGGGGCCCCCTTCACCTTCCCTTGGCGGGGGCCCGTCGTGCAAATCATCCGGACCCCATGCGGAAACAGCTCATTTGTTGTTCTGCGAAACCCTGGATCGGCATCGATAACGGACACACCCCTCTTCAGCACCAGCATTTCCAGACTGTTTTTTTCCTTCCCACACCCTTCACCCCCTGCACCATTTCCTTCGGCATTTCATTAGTTCATGACTTCGATTTGGCTCGGGTGACCCTTTGGTCTGGGCGCGTCGTCGGGCGGGTTTGGCTCTTGGCCAGCCGCTTTTTGGCACGCCATTCGGATCAAAATCTACCGAACGGCACGCCCGGCACTCACGTTCTCTCGGGGTGTCGCTCAAGGATGGTGGGGGCCATGGTTGTCTGGGCAGCGAATTTCAGCGCCGCCCGATCGAGAGAGAGCAATGGTTAGTCAACGCCAACGGTGGGGTACAAATGGACCTTCAGATATTCAACGCGACTGTTCTATGCTGTCGTTGTTCCCGGGCCCAGCTCCACCTACGCCAGGGACATCAGCCGTTCTGCATAGCTCGCCGTGCGCTACGCTCGCACCTCCCCCCGACTCATTTTTCCTTCATTGTCTTGCCTGTTTTTCTTGTTTTTCTTCTTTTTCTCATTTCATTTATCGCACCGGGACTCGCTTGTGGGGAGGTATTAGGGGACGAAGCGATTTCTGCCTCGGGTTGGGCACAGCGGAGACGATTGCCGGCCTCCTACTGGTCATGGTCTTGAAGATGGATTTTGGCCGGCAAGGCCAAGAGCCACGCGATCGTGACCAGCGGAGCAATCGAGTTTTAGCTACATTCGGGTCGTGGGTCACATACTATCCACGACACTTGTATGGGGGCAAGCGAAGTGGCTAGGACAAGGGCGGGGGTGGATTAGAAGTAGCGGGCTTGCCCGCTGGTGATCAGCAACCCTTCCCTGTGGTTTGAGAGGCTATGGTTCCGAAGACGGCTTCAAGCAGCAACGAACTGTCAACATTGCCGTCCCTCCAGTCAAGTTCGTCGTGGTATTACCACGATTAGACGGGCCGGCTGACGGTTGCTGCTGTCCTCGGATCCGGGTTTTAAGATGTCCGTCTGCCCATGCGCCCGCTCATGTCAGGTAGTCTCGTTATTAATTTTACACTGCTTTTGCTTTTAAATTCTCCGAGGTCTCGAACGGTCCGTGATAACTTGCCGTTGGTCGGCGAACGGCACTGCCACTTCTGCAAGGTAACTTTATAGCGCTGTGCCCAGCCCTGCCAGGCTTTGCACCATGTGCGCCAATAGGTCGGTCCTCGGTGCGGAGAAGTGGTGGCCATTATTCCCAACCATCGAAGTAACCATGTTTTGAAGGAGGTCTGTTTCCTCTCAGTGCCGTCTTCGAGGGTCAGCTCCTGACGTTCTTTTTGCCCCCGTCTTCAGGATTCTGGACGACTAACGTGAACCCTAAACTGCCTTTTTGTCACCACCATGGGCCCATTTGCTCATCCAAGTGGTATCCAAGGTATCAAGCGACCAGGTTCTCGGCACCTAAAGGCCTTGCAGGGACTTGGACCTCGAACGGACTGGTTCCCCGTTTTGGGAAGTGGGTATCCACAAGCACATGCATTAAAGTTTAACCCCCTGTTGGTACATATAGGCCGCCTTGTGTGGCAGTGAACGACCAGGCTTGCCTTGAGCGGTCCAGTCCTATCGCTGTTTTTGGATGCATCGTAGTTCATTAAATCAACACCAAACCGCCACCACATCCACCCACCAGCACGATCACCAGAAGTGATCCCGCCGTGGCCGCTCACCCCCCCCCCCCCCAAACTTCCCCCCCCCCCCCCTCCGCCCCCCCCCCCCCCCCCCCCCCCCCCCCCC